TGATCACCAGCATCAATTCTCAACCCCCGAGCAAGGACCCGAACCATCTATGCGAAGCCAGGATCCAATTAATGTTTCTTCGTCGCGGGGGTTGGATCTCGAGGAGGAGAGTGGTGTCGGTGCTGGGGCAGTAAAACCAAGATCGAGGTTTTTGGGCAAGTTTAGGCGCCAGAAGACTCAAGGGGATGCCGAAGAGTTCAAGGATGGAGAGGATGTTGAGGCTGATGGGCCGACTTTTACGGTTGCGTCGCAGCTGCGCGCGACTATCCTCAATTCTTGGATCAATGTTCTTATTTTTGCGGCGCCGGCTGGAAGTAGGTTTTTCCCTTCTTGTTTTGCCCTGAGATCGAGTATGCTGACTTTTTACTGTTTTAGTTGCGCTTTATTGCGTGGATGCTAATCCCATTGCCATTTTCGTTGTCAACTTTATTGCTATTATGTGAGTTCGAGTTCGAGCCCGCTCATCGTGGACACGAGAAAGGAAGAAGAAAGAAAAATGCATGCTAATGACCGGTGATACAGTCCTCTTGCAGCCATGCTGAGCTATGCGACAGAAGAGATTGCGATGCGGTATGTTCATCATCTCAGAATCGAATACAAGCACAAGATGGTGTAGATCATACTAACCACGCACCGTAGGACTGGTGAAACAATCGGTGGATTGCTAAATGCTTCATTCGGGTAAGTCTTGCGTCACAGCTCAGTCCATTCGGATAATCCTCTAATGCCAAAATTTACAGTAACGCCGTTGAACTAATCGTCGCCATCATTGCCCTGGTCAAGAGAGAAGTTATCATCGTCCAAACCTCTCTGATCGGCAGTATGCTATCGAATCTGCTCCTCGTCATGGGAATGTGTTTCTTCTTCGGCGGAATCAATCGCATGGAGCAGCACTTCAACGTTGTCGTCGCGCAAACCGCAGCCAGTCTGCTCGCCCTCGCTGTTAGCAGTCTGATCATTCCAACTGCATTCAAATCGTGGTCTGAAGGTATGTCCTGTCTTTGCACCCATTACCCATCTCCCCTCTCTTATCCCTGCAAATCCGAACAACACAACTAATCAGTCCAATCCAACCCAACCAGGCAACAAAGACAAAGTCGCTCCTCTCTCCCGAGGAACCAGTGTCCTCCTCCTAATCACCTACGGCTGCTACCTCTTCTTCCAACTGAAGTCCCACGCCGCCATGTACAACGAACCAAGCAAGAAAGTCGAGAAACGCCGCCGCAAGCCCTCTGAAGGCGACCTGTCGCGCGGACTGGCGAAGATCGGCGACGCAGCCGCGAAGCAGATCGGCGGCGAGAATGCGCAGAACATGGAACTACAGATACCGGATGATGAGCCTGAGCAGCCTCAGTTGACTGTTTTCACCGCGTTGTTAACTCTTTTCCTGTCGACTGCGCTTGTTGCTGTTTGTGCTGAGTTCATGGTGAGTTCTCCTGTGTCTGCTGTGTCAGATGGGATGGCCGACAACGATTTAATACTAATGCTCTATTGTGCTAGGTTGACTCCATCGATGGCCTGACCAAGAACGGCGGCATCAGCGATACTTTTGTCGGATTGATTCTCCTACCTATTGTTGGTAATGCGGCGGAGCATGCTACGGCTGTGACTGTTGCTTGCAAGGATAAGATGGATCTGGCCATTGGTGTTGCTGTAGGATCTAGTATGCAGATTGCACTGCTTGTTCTGCCGCTTATTGTTGTTCTTGGATGGATTATTGGTATGTTATTCAAAAGAACCCCCCCCCCCCGGATAGAAATAAGGAGAACTAACTCACAATGATCTCAGGTGTCGAAGACATGACCCTTGGTTTCGATGGTTTCCAGGTCATTATACTCTTCGTCGCTGTCCTCTTGGTACGCCCCTCCCTCCTTACAAACGCAGGACGAGTTGTGCAATTCTGACTAATATACAAGGTCAACTACCTTATCGGAGACGGCAAATCTCACTGGCTTGAGGGTATCTTGCTTATGATGATGTACCTAATTATCGCCCTTGCTGCTTGGTACGTCATACGCGCTCGCCGGGGCACACCGACCCTTCCATTCCAAATTATATGCGCATATGCTAATCTTCCCAGGTTCTTCTGATGCGCTCCGCGAGCCATTGGACATGACATTTATCTCTAGGTAATCTCTAAACTGGGCGGTTCATTCTCTATCTGCTCTACTTATTTTGTACTGTGTCTTACTTTACCTTACTTCACTTCTTGGGGCGACATCTTTGAAAATACCAAATCTCTAATCTGGGTACCCTTTCTCACGTACCATACCATCCATATATCTATCCTATCCTATCCTTGCATGTACATGTGCACCCGCCCAATGATACTTGAGCACGAGTAGCCAGTTTTCCGCCCAAGCTTCAACAAATCGATCAACGCCCGGGCGAGCAACCCCCTATCCTCGGCATTAGATACCTAATCCATGCTGCATACTGCCAGTGCACAAATCTAATCTCACTTACCCCATACTCTTAGCCCAGCTTAGTCCAAATCAAATCACCGACACGGCCCACTACTAGTACCTACTTGTGGTAAACAAGGTTCCCTCCTGCATGTAACCCCTCCCTGCACCCCAACCCCAACCGCCACTGCCACAAGTCCGGGCCGGATGAAGCCAAGCAGAATAGCCTAAACAAAAACAGCCGGGATAAATAAGGCCGAAGTACCTCCATACGTACGTACTAGCTCCAAAGAATGCACGTACTAGCTACGAGTAGTTAGTACCTTTGACGGCAGGACCGGGCCTGATTCCGAACAGGACAGCAGGCCTAAGCCCTAGTGAGAGTGAGGGTGAGCCCCAGCCTCGCGGCAGAATTACCCTCGCAAGCGAAATCAACACTGCCTGCCACCTGCCACCTGCCCATTGAGAACAGAACCAAGCCATGCCTAAGACGGTAACCGGGCCGGCGGAACCGCATTAAGGCATTTACCGGCGGCACGATTGGTTTGGGATTGGTTTGTACGAGTATTCGAACTGGAGGCGTTAGATTGGACCGCGATTAAGTACGGAGTACATTGATTAAATAACCGGGCTTCTAGAAGAATGTTCAAGTTGGTGGAAGATGAATGGATAGCCCTCTATGTAGATCGATCGGGGTCTCTTGCTTTGTTGGTACACATACGTACTATGTAAGGACCCGGAAGGTCGGAGGGAAATTACCCTAACTAATGATATTTACGGATATAGTATGTGCTTGAATTGTTTGTGGCTTTGTTTGCTTTCAACTTGAAGTTGTTCCCATGGTCTCAGGTACTCCTAATTCTGCGTTTGTGTTTGGGTTTGCTTTCGCCGGATGGTGAGCGGCATACTATCGTACATACTAGCTACACATACAACTCCCCTAGCAATCGGAATCGAATCTACCGATCAATCTAGTACTAGCTACTTGTACATACACGCTTAGTTTAACTAGTCGCTGTATTGTGACCTCACCTGTTACCCTGTATGATGATTCCAATGTATGATATCATCCCCAACCCAGCCAAGATCAGGAACGAAAAAAAAGAAAGCAAAAACCAGGAACTCAGAATCAGGCACAGCACCACAAGCAGAATCACAGCAGAACCAGACTTCCACCTCCAACCCCCCCTATTCCCATTACACATAACCCCCACGGGGCGGAGGGGACACGGCTCACTCGGGGTGTCACGGGTCCCAAAAAACCATCGGGCAGAAATCGGCTCGGTCGGGATCCCACGCAAAAAAATTTCATTCTTTCTTTTACCCGAACCGATGTGGGGTGGAATCTTGATTCCGAGCGAATATTGCCCGTTTTGAACATAATGGATACACAACCTGGTCATGAATGATGGGGGTGAGCATGAGCATGAGCATGAGCATGGGGGTTACAGGGTCCAGTTTTTGAATTTATCGTGGGATGGATAGCTTTTGTCCCCATTCCAAAGGTTTTTAGGGTGCTTTTTCTAGGGTGTTTGTGAGAATGAGGATTCGGGGGAAGGGTACGGAGTACGGAGTACCTCTCTCAAAGTTCTCTCTCGCCCTCCATCTACCCCGTACCTACTGCGTTTGTTCATAACTCCCTCTGATTTGAACAGGGGGGTTCTGCTACCTCTCGTAGACCAGACGAAGCAGGAAGGCGGGGTGTAGTCCAACCCCAGACCCCAAATCCAACCCAGCCCAACTCAACTTAAACCCAAATCTAAATCCCAGAGGCAAAGAAAGCCAAATCCGAATTTAAACTCCAACCTCCAACTGAACAAGGACATCAAGCCGAGTGAGCGCGGATATGAAAGTAAGACTAGAGTGGGAAAGGAAGGCTTGGCGCGGCTTCCTTTGCTTGGCTCATTGCGGGCTGGTTTGGTTTCGTTCTGGGTCAGGTCTGTTTGGCTCTGCTCTGTTCTGCTCGGGGACGATCCGATCGGTTAAACTACGAGTATGGACAAAGTACGAGCACTCGTACGCACATCATTTCAATTTACGGGTCGGGGGAGAAACGGGGAAACTTGACGGGACGGAAAAATTCAATTCACATAGGCTACGACGTGGAGGCGTTGGCTTTGGGAGGAGCTCAAAATAGTTCCTATTCGGGCCAATTTGCGCCGACCGATTCGGTAGTCCGGAGCGCGGCACGGGATGCCCGTTTGATCGGGTGAAAAGCCGAGGGAAAGGAAGGGAATGGGAATGGGGATATGGAGTGCCAGTGATTGATGAAGGAAGGAAGGGATGGAGTGGAGAACTATGATGAACTTGAACATGTTTCCCAGAACCTGGAATACCTTGCCTCTATATGTGTATGTACTATGACAAGGCGCAAGGGTGGACATACATAATGGGTCATCGTTCATTGGGGGAGAGGATTGGATCGATCGGAAAACGGAGTGCGAGATTGAGATTGGGAGACGAGCTGAAGTCAGGTCCAGGGGTCGTCGGGTCTTTGTGTTCAGCAGGCGATCGTATTTTTTATTTTTTTTATTTATCTTTCAAGCATGTATTGAACAGGATTGCCTTTTTTTCATTTTACTATTTTCCCCGACTCTATTTCGCGGAGTCGTCATAGCAGAGACCCGGGCCCGATGTCATAGGTTCGGGTAGACTGAGGATGGACACTGAAGGAAGGGTCAGCTGAGTGACGGCCAAGAAAGGAACGGAAGAATTGAAACGGCTTGTGCACGTCCCCGAGACGAGACCGGACCGGAAGGACGGCGTGGTAGGATACATCGCATCCCATGGCGTAGTTACCATATCCAGTATCCATAGGGTAGGTACTACCGCTGTTAGGCGAGGTGACTTCGGACTACGGCGCACTGAGGAAGTGTACGAGAGGATTCCGATGACCATGGCCATAGCCATAGGCGTTTAATATTACTCCGTACTCCGTAAGTAATGACAGTGCAATAAGCTGGGGCTGCTTGAATTTCCCTTTTAAGCTCGTCGGGTCCACAGGGCGTTTTTGTCCTTTCGGATTTGCATTTTCTTTTTCGTGCCTGGTCGGATATCCACCGGGGAAAAATCAAGGGGTCCACTCTGACACGAGGCAAAAGGAATTCCCGGTTTATGACGATAGTAGGTTGTTGGTCTGAGTATACTAGAGTACTATGTGTGTAGGTGAAGTGCAGGAGACGTGAAGGTACTCATACAAGGTCAAAATCATTAATACTATATCTACACCGCTACCTCACTCATTACCAAGGATCTTCTTCAGTCTACAATACTCGTCTATGCTTCATCGGCCCATAACCGACTTACCTAATGTGAATTGAGCAAATGCGGGGTTGGCCGGGGTCGGTTCGCTGGCGCTTCGGAGGCTGGGGACCAATCAGAACTCCAGCCGGACGGGGCCGAAAGTGTACGGGTCGGCCGTGGGGGAACTCGGTGTATGACTTTCCCGTACCTGGGAAAACTAGGAGCCGTGTGTGGTGGTGATGATGGTAGGTTGGCATTGTGGATGGTGTTGTCTTGGTGCGTGATACAAGGGTGCTGATACAAGTGTACTACAACAGCAACAACAATGATGGCTAACACGAGACAAAGGAAATCATCAATACCTACGGTCCTCCATATGTACTCTGCCTGATGCTGATGCCTCGGATCGCCGATGCGGTCGGCCTCGGCTCATCTGCAGCCACCCATCATCGCTATGTCACGATGCACTGAGCCAGCTCCGTGATGCATCGGTCATATTCCGTTGGTCTACCAAGCAACCAATCCTCCCGACGAGAGTGTGGCAAAGGGGGGTGAAGAAGAGAGAGCCAAGGGCAGCACGGACAAGCAACCGTGACACGGCGACCGCCGCCCCAAGTTTAGATCAGTTCGGTTCAGTTTAGTTCAGTCCAATCCAATCCAATCCAGTCCAGTCCGGTCGAACTGTACCTCCAACCCGTCATGGCCGATCCTGGCCGCCACAATGGAGAAAGAGGTAGCGACTCACAGCACAATTGAATGTAACTTCCCGGAGAAGAGGAACGAGGATCAATTCGCGGATCGCGGTGCTCTCCCCGCGGGGAGGTCCGGGGGGGGTCAGGGACCCGCGACGATTGGGCGCCTCCTCCTCCTCGTCTTTCCCCCTTGCTTTTTTTGGTTGGAAAAAAAAAGAAAAGAAAATTAAAATAAAATTTCTTTTTCCATTCTTCATTTTCGTCCACTCGGCGCCGGGGAAGAGAGAGTCCGGGGTGGTGGATGGTGCGGAATTGAGAAAGTGGAATACCCGAGGGATCACGGATTACCAGAGTACAGATTACCATGATGTTCAGTGGTAGGATAGGGTCACGGACACAAGACCGCTGTCACGGTCTCTTTGGCTCCATCTCATCTCCAATCCAATCCAATCCAATCCAATACCGAGAAGCTTCCCCTCACTGGACCCGAACCTGACCCATGTGGGTTTCATCAGAGCCCTACCGAGCCTGGCGGGTATAGCCTCCTCACGAGGGAAGGGGAAGAGGGCTACCGTTGCAGGAGTGGAGTGGGCATGGTAGAGGAAGTACCTAATAAAAAAAAGGAAGGGGAAAAGAAAGAAAAAAAAAGCATGTACGAGTATGGACACAGTGTATGGAGTACTCTCCGACTCTCCGGTCGTCCCGCTTGCCTGTTCAGGAGTTCCCGACCGGGAAATGGGGGCGCGGTGATGGGGGAAAGAAAAGAAAAGAGAAAAGAAAGAATTATGGAGACGGTGGCTTCTTTGGGTCCGCGTGAGAATCCGATCCAGCACAATTGCCGATCGGGCATCATCCAGCCGTGGCAGGGTTCAATGGGAGCAGAAAACCCGCCGACGCCGGGACGACCTAGAAGGAATGACATATGGCAGATGTTCTGTAGGCAGAGTACAGACTACTCTGTACTTTGACATGGAGAGAAAGAGAGATTGCAATTCGGGCTCTTGAACCGGGCTGGGTACGACGTGGAATGTTCCACACGGCTGGTTGCTGTTCCGGTGCTTCGGTCGGCGAGAGGAGGGGAGAATCGGGTGATCATGAGATCAGGGTAGGTAATAGGTAATAGGTAATCGGTTAGTATGGTAATGGCCTGTGTGTGGGAAGTATAATAGGATATAGAAGTTGACATCCTATAGTGTAGTATACTAGCATATTAGTATACTACACTATAGCTTCCGCTATACCTCAGTATCGCTAGTAGTAGACATAGGTATACACATAGGTATAGGCATACGGAATGCGTATACAGAATGCTGTATACCTATATCCTCTGCTATGCCTTCATGATATCCCCACAAACCGGGGCTCCACTCTCCACGAATCGCGTCCTTGCATACTCCGTAGGCACCTCCGCAATTTCAATTTCCAATTCCCCAGCGGCTCTCGGCTGCTTGTTTTATTTTATTTTATTTTTTATTTTTCCTTTTTTCCTTTCCCCGTTCTCGACTCCGTTCCCTCCCGAGTTACCACTGTTACTGGTTACCACCACTGGCCACTCGCTCTGCCGACGGCTGCCCCGACTTTTTACTTTCTTTCTCCCCCACACTCCGCTTCGACTTTATTCTCGGCTTTGGGTCTTTGGGTCTTTGGGTCTTTTGGGCCTTTGGGGTCTTTTTGGGTTCTCTTGCTTCTCTCCTCTCCTCTTTGCTTCCTATTTGACTCGACCTTCCCCCCCCTTCCCCCATTTCTCTCCCCTTTCGGCATCTTCCTGTTCAACCCTCCTTGCCAACCTGCTATAATAACAGCCAACAACAATAACGGATCGGTGAGTCCTGTTCTGTGCGCTCGGCATATGCAATGCTGATGCGGTGTTTCGCAAAGCCGAATCCTCGTTCCCTCCATTTCCCCCATTCTCCCCCATTGCCGCCTGACACTTCCCTCCCCAGCCCGGCCGAAAAGTGTCACATACTCCCGAACCACCACCACCACTTCCCCTTCTCACCTACCTTCTTTCTTCAACCACACTTTACAATCACCCTCACAATCCATGGGATACCGATCCTGATCCCCGCTATTCGAAGTTGTCACTTCCGCAGACCTCGGGTCTGCTTAATTCACTATGCGATCCAGCATCGCTTGCGCTCGGTGCCGGCGTAGTAAGATCAAGTGCGTCAATGCCGGCATCGACACCACCTGCCGCGCTTGCGAATCCTCCGGTCGAGAATGTGTCTACCCAACCCCCGCCATCGGTGTGAGTGGCGCAAAGCGCGACTTGGCTGCCCTGGCCGACGGCGACGATCGGAATGGTGACTGGGATGGCCCGAAACGCCAGCGCTCGCGCAAACTAACTGGCTTGTCGGGCGCCTCCGCCGGTGCCAAAGCCGGTCTCGACGCCCTCGATGCCTCCGTCTTGACCACCAAGGTCTGGGAATCCGTCTTCGATCTCTTCCAATCTCACTTTGCGACTCTTCTTCCCTTCCTACATCCCGCGACCTTCCTCGGCCAGATTCGGCAACTCTCTACACCCGCTCCGCCACTTGCGCCAATCGATGGGATCGATGCCGCGCGAAATAATTCCGGTCTGAAGACAGACCCGTCTTCTTCTCTCATTCCGTTAGGTGTTTTGGCCCTGACAGCCCGCTTCCACCCGCCGCTGGTCGCCTACCACTCCCCGGCCTCCCCCGGACATACTTCGAACCCCGTCGCGGCATCCGAATACTATGCAACAGCACTCCGCAGCCGGCTGGCCGGTCTCGAGGGAGTTAGCCTGGCCATGCCCGATCTGGCACGGGTTCAAGCGCTGCTAATGTTGGCCCTGCATGAGTGGGGCATGTGTCGCGGCAAGAGCGCCTGGGTGTATGTTGGAATGGCCATTCGTCTGGCCCAGGCCATGGGCTTGCCCTTTGAATTGGAGAATGAGTTTCCCCCGCGTGATATGTCCCGCTGCTCCCCCGGCTTCAAGATGGAGGCAGATCACTTTGGTGTTCGTCGCCGTTCAGAGGCCAAGGAGGCGACCTCCGACGATATCATTGCTCAAGAAACCAAGCGCCGAACCTTCTGGGCCTGTTTTACCCTGGACCGATGCCTCAGTAGTGGAAAATATCGCCCCCGCATGATTCGCGTCAAAGAGCTCGGAATTCAATTGCCGAGTGATAATGCATTTGCCTTCGGCGAGCGGGTACGAACGGCCCGACTTAACGAGCCGACGGCTCGCCGACCACCAAGCTTTGGTGCACAGGGGGTTCAGATCCCAAGCATCCGCCAAAGTATAGGGGGCTTCAATGATGAGAAACTTCCTCCTACTAACGGAACCCCGGACCCCAAGGCATGGTCTCCCATCTCACGCCGTAAGGACTCGAGCGAGGACGATGTGGATCGATGGGAGGTTGGTGCTGAGGAGTCGGTCCTCAGCCGAGTGATTCGTATCATTCGTATCTGGGGCAGCATTGCCAAGTGGTCTTGCGCTGGCGGTCGACGAAACGAGCAATACCCCCCCATGGCACCCGGAATCGCGATTCGCCTCGCTTCGAATGCAATTAAATGAATTCCAGGATAGCCTTTCCCGAAACCTGCAGTATTCACTGCGAAATACTGATACCCACATCATGTACAAGACTACACTGGCACCATACACCGTCATGCACGTTGTATACTTCCTGTCTGTCATTGTGCTTCACCGAGCATATATCCCCTTCTTGCCCCTTCGCTGCAACGAGCCATCTGGTCCCCTTGACGAGCCCTTGTTCCCCTCGGACAAGGTGAATGGCCCTCCCGATGGTTTCTGGCGTGACAGCTCCCGTGAATTATTCAAGGCCGCGCGTCAGATGATTGATCTGGTGGCCACCTGTCAAGGACGTGGCGCTCTAGTGGAGAACCCACTCGTGGGCTTCGCTATTTACAATGCTGCCTTCATCGGAGTATACGGTACGCACTTCACTCACATGGACACGGAGGGCTTGATGGGGCCCAAGGCTCCTCCCGCAAGTCACGATAGCCCCCAGCCCGGCGCTTCACAGGTGCGGAAAGCTCTCGATATCCTCCGGGAGACGCGACCTCGCTTGCGAATGGCCGTAGGATGGTTCCGTACCTTGAATCGCCTCCACAGCTACTTCTCCAAGGTCAAGCGTGACTTCCGTCGCTACTCACGCAATCGACTGGACAGCATGTCTGATGCCTCGGACCACGCCATGGCCAATGGGGTGCGACCGGTTCGCGATGGGGGTATCGGGGGTGGCCTGGAGGAGTTCAGGCTTCTCGAGAAGCTCTTCCTGGACTTTGGATCGATCGAAGATCAACTCAATGAGCCTGGATTCGACGACGAGGGCACTGCCATTGCCATCACCGGAGAGCCAATGATGCAAGAGCGCTCCGCCAATCTCAGTGATGCAGGAAGCAACGCCGTCAAGAGCGAACTAGGCGATGTGAGCGACCAGCCCCTAGACGGAGCCGGTGGTCGTCGCGAGTCATGGGTGCCAATCAACAGCCCCGGCTTCCCTCCACCAGGCCATGAAGGAGACCGTCGACCCAGCCTCCCTCTGCCCAACAGCCGTCCCATGCCATCACAATCACCATACTCCCTCCCATCCCTCCAACAACACCACCCAGACGGACCCATGTACACATCGTCTCCTCCAAACCTTCCCTCCATAGCAGCAACCACTCAATCGCCGTCCCAATACCTCACTGCCACATCCGGCAACCGTCTTCAACCCATCAACTCCTGGCTCCCCTCTCGCCCCTCCGTACCACCCCCTCCATACTCCCAGTCTCTACCCCCTATCAACGCCACCGCTGCTTCTCCGCACAGCCTGGCTGTCCTACCACCTCCACCCCCAGTCGCCCAGCTCGCGCCATCTCCGCCTCTCACCTCCACCGATGGGCCGGACTCGAGCATGCTGTCAACCTGCTTAGCTGGTGACGATGTCATCGCTTTCTTGGATGGCTGCGAATGGTCACAGATCTCTCTCAACGCACCATCTGAAGTGGGTATCCCTGTTGGTTGGCTGAGTGCGGTCTGGACGCAATTCACTCGGTAAATGCTGCGGCCTTGGTCCCGGAATCTACTCTTGAATCCTTCCAGATTTGTCTCTCGGGTCAGCAATTGACGCCGGCATTTCTCTTTGTCTGTACTATTATTCTTATTTTTTTACGACTTTCCGTCCTTACGTCTCACGTATGTACGACTATCTTCCACGAATTCGCTGGCGACATGGAGAGGATGACATGATAGGGCAGGGCATGGTATAGTATGTTTCGGTACATTACCATGTCTTGCTTTATTTTGATGTGGCATGAGCAGCTCAGTTCTTCTCAGCCAACACACAAAAACCATCAGGAATCGACGCGATGATGGCTTGGAGCCGGTTGATCTATGTTTTTTTTTTACCCTACCTTTTCTCAGATCACTCTGGAGAAGGAGAAGGAGTGCATACATCGACCGCCACTATCGGATTGGCAAGAACTTACCATAGCTACACTTACTACCTATGGTACTGCCTTGATCAATTCACATCATCCATCACCTTGCTTCTTGCTCTCTTTCCCTCGCAATCCTCCTCCTTCTCTGATTATTGTCTTATCTCTGTCTCGTTCCGGCGCAGCTATGGTGGTCTTTTTTGTCCTGGCCTGGCTTTCCCTGTCTCATCCTTTTGGATCTGGCTTGTTCTTCCTGTTTATCCATAATTTGATTTGATTTGATTTCCTTGTTTAGTACCAACGGTACCTGGCTGGATTGGATCGGATTGGATTGGATCGGATTGGATTGGGTTTGGTTTGGTTCGGATTGGTAGGGTTGGGTAGGAATGGAAATGAAAACCAGCGTATATCCCTTTTCCTACCACGATGTTCTGCTCTGCGCTCTTTGTTTCGAGCTTTTGATTTTCCTTGGCCGTTTGATTCCGTTTTGAAGCTCTGTTTCGTTGTACCAGCCGATATCGATTGCTGTTTCGAGCGTGCGCTCCCCTTTTATTTATTTCTCTTGTCAGGGTTTTCTTTTCTTGAGGTTTCTTCAATGGTTTTCCTTTGTTGGGTTGGGATCCCGACCTCTTGTGTGTGTCGTGGAATGTGATTATGACGAGCTACGGCGTTTAGCTCTGAGGAATTTATTTTCCGGGCCGGTTGGCCTTTTTTTCTTTTCCCTATTTATACCTTTGCTTTCTGTTGTAAGTTCTCTTTCGTTCTCCCTTATAGTAGGTACTAGATGCCTACGTACTATGAGGAAAGGAATTGTAGGCTTGTGGTTTTGGATATTTGGGTGCAAAGCCATGACCAAGCTTCATAGTTGACGAGTAATCAATCAGCATCAGCGGGAATGCAGCAGCCAGTATTTCAGGTTTCATTTCACTCCCCTCAGTGAGCTCTTCACGCCCCACAGCTGAGCCATGATCTACATATTCGACCAGTTCGCGTGAAGTCAACTTATGCAATCGCGCGATCTGAGCGGCAGCATGCATACAAGAGACAAATCAACCTTGAGAGTTGGCTTCCACCCCGGCATTCCAGTTTGCATTTACCCTATAATACCTTATAGCCGAGCCATAATACGTGCATATACGAGAGGGATGGATTTCTCTAATTTTTTCAAGTTTGTATTCCAAGGTAATTAACACTAGGTAGTAATCCCAAGCCAACTTGAACCAGCATCATAAATATTCCTCGCGACTAATTTATTTCATCGCGATTCCCTTTTTTTCCGCTGTTCGAAGTCAAAGCTGCATGAACCTTGTTGTCGTTTTCGAAAACATTCGGGTGAAATGTTTCTACATAGTATTTAGATGACCTTGCCCGGTGGGTGTTTGAGATACTTGCCAAGGGCATCATTTAGTAAGAGCGGCATTATGTCAGGTAGATGAGGTCTTCAGGTCGTAACCGATTAAGTTGCCGAGTACACTAGTTCCACTGTCTTTCGGTCTCGTTACTAGTAGTTAAATAAGTGGTATCAGCGACCTTTGAGGTCATGCGCTTATTTGAGCTTTTGACGGTATACTGTACCGCCCAGTCATGGGAGTCGAAGCTCAGCACTGGCACGTCAGGATACTAATAAGAGAAAAAAAAATAATGCAAACGAGTATATCTGTAAATTAGCTGGCTTGGGAGGTTTGGGAATTCAAAAATTCTAGATTTTATAGACCGATATGAGTCATGATTTAATTTACGATTGATCATGATGTTTTGCAAACATTTGAGAAATAAAGACATGTTGAGTATTTAGATAAAAAAATTTTGAACGGTGCTCGCCTTGAGACTTGCGCAATTTGGAGCTCCTGGCTGAAGGAAATCCAGTTGGGCCCATAGAAGGATTTCCACCTTAGCATGATCTTGGGATTCATGGTCTGGATTGATCTGACTCATTTGACCTCATTGATTTTATTTTGACATTTGAGCGTCGATTGGCTTGGTCATCTTTTTTGCCTCCTCTTTTTGAATTAGTTGAAGAATCATTGGTCAATTCAAACTTGATCTTTCAGGGGCATTCAAAATCTGTGAAGAGTATTTGATTGCGCATGGGAGCTCAAATGGGAAGCTTCAAGAATCCTTACTACTTCCGCCCCCATTTCGCTAGGTATTGCTCGGACATCCACAAGCGTAGTATTTTCGGCTTTCTTGCTCTAGTGGAACAGGCATTATCCTTATCATTTAATTAAGGCTCTCATAAAGATTCATAGCTTATGAATGTAGTGGATTCTTGTAGTTTAGTCCCGTCGCTACTGTTTGTTATGTGAGACTTCCTCTGACTCACCATTGTGAGACCAAGGACAATACTAGAATGAGAACAGCCCTACAACTTCCCTCCCTTCCCACCCCAAGATTTCCTCCTTTCCACTCCTACCAAAAACCATTTTGCCCCTCGATCATCCATTCAACAATGGAAGCGATCAAGCAAGTATTCACAACGTGCAAGGCTGAGGGCCGCGCAGCTCTGGTCACATATGTCACAGCTGGATTTCCCACAATTCGCGATACACCTGAAATTATGCTGTCAATGCAAGCTGGTGGCTCAGGTAAATCTCACAGTGTTGACGTTCATTCAGACACACGCTAATATGGCCATCCACAGACATCATCGAGCTCGGCATCCCCTTCACAGATCCTCTCACTGACGGCCTGACTATTCAGAAGTCACATGCCCAAGCGCTTGTCAATGGTGTTCGAATCCCTACCATAATGCAAATGGTTCGAGATGCACGGGGGCTGGGACTTATCGCCCCTGTGTTGCTCATGGGTTACTACAACCCCGTCCGGGCCTACGGAGAGGCGAAGTTTTTGAAAGACTGTCGAGCAGCTGGAGTAAACGGGTTCATTATCGTGGACCTACCTCCCGAGGAAGCTGTTCGGTTTAGGAATCTGTGCAAGGTGGAAGAGTGAGTCAGAGGACAAGGCAACGGTGTGAAAATTGTACACTAATCCTCTGCGCAGACTATCATACATTCCTCTGGTCGCACCATCGACAGCCGACAGTCGTATGGAGATGCTTTGCGGTATCGCTGACTCCTTCATCTATGTTGCCTCCAAGATGGGAGTGACTGGGGTAGCCAAGGGGCTGGATACCGGACTGGAGGACCTTCTGAACCGAGTGCACCGCTATACCAAAGGCTCTGTACCAGCTGCGGTTGGATTTGGGATCAGTACCCGTGAGCATTTTGTCAACGTTGCCCATATTGCAGAGGGAGTCGTCATCGGCAGTAAAGTTATCGAGGTACTACAAGAAGCACCTAAAGGTACTGGCGCTGAGAAGGTCAAAGAGTACTGTCTCAAGGTTTCAGGTCGCAAAGAGCCTCGCAGCATCACGCCTCTTCAAGATCTCAAGACTGGCACCACAGAGGCTAGTCAACAGAGCATCAACAATCAAAGCGCACTTGGAGGCCAAGACCGTATCACGCCTATGGGTGACAACACCCGATTCGGCCAATTCGGTGGCCAATATGTGCCCGAGGCCCTGATGGAATGCCTCACCGAATTGGAGACTGGCTTCGACAAAGCGTCCGCCGATCCAACTTTCTGGGAAGAGATTCGCTCCTACGCCTCATACACCAACCGCCCTTCCTCCCTTCACCAAGCATCCCGTCTCAGCAAGCATGCTGGTGGTGCCCGCATCTGGCTAAAGCGAGAAGACCTGAATCACACCGGCAGCCACAAAATCAACAATGCCCTTGGGCAAGTCCTCCTTGCCCGGCGACTTGGAAAGACATCTATAATTGCCGAGACAGGTGCAGGTCAGCACGGAGTGGCCACCGCGACACTTTGCGCGCTACTCGGTCTCAAATGTACGATTTTCATGGGCGCAGAGGACGTGGAGCGACAAGCGTTGAATGTTTTCCGCATCAAATTGCTCGGTGCTACGGTCGTTCCTGTGCCTGGGGCGCATCCCGGTGATGGAGGCACACTTCGAGACGCGGTGAATCAAGCTTTCAGAACCTGGGTTACTGATCTTAAGACGACGCATTTCGTCATTGGATCTGCTTTTGGACCGCATCCCTATCCGACTATTGTTCGCACTTTGCAGTCTGTTATTGGAGAGGAGACGCGTTCGCAGTTTATGGAGGAGATGAATGGGAAGCTTCCTGACGCGGTCGTTGCTTGCGTTGGCGGAGGGTCAAATGCGGCGGGGATGTTCTACCCTTTCTTGAACGATAGCTCGGTGAAGCTTATTGGTGTTGAGGCCGGTGGCGATGGTTCTTCAAATGGTCGACATGCAGCGACACTGGCTAGAGGCTCAGTGGGTGTGCTACACGGAGTGAAAACATATGTCCTCCAAGACGATGACGGGCAGATCATTTCTACACACTCTGTATCGGCTGGGCTGGATTATCCCGGAGTTGGACCTGAGTTGTCTAATTGGAAGGAATCTGGCCGGGCTACTTTTGTCGCTGCTGATGATAAGGAGGCACTCGATGCGTTCCGACTCTTGAGTGAAACGGAGGGAATTATCCCTGCCCTGGAGAGTGCGCACGCTGTCGCTGGTGCTGTGAAGGTGGCCAGGGGTCTCGGCCCTGACAAAGATCTTGTAATTTGTCTGAGTGGAAGAGGAGACAAGGATGTACAGCAGGTGTCTAAAATGTTGCCAGGTTTGATGCCTGCCGAGACAAATTAGAGCGTCTGTACTTTGAAATATGAAAATTTCTTGTCCACTTGAAGACTTTCCAAGTCTCCTTTTGCCCCTACACATGTTCTTCTTAGTATTGTTTATGCTTCGGCACTTTCAAGCTAGTACTCTGTAGTGAGGAAATACTGGAAGTTAGTATGTAACTCGAGATTTCATAGCTTTGCGTGCTGACAACCTTGAAAAACATACATGAATGTTTAGGGTCCACTAATTATTATATGAATATTACGGGGTAGAAATAAAATATTAATACCTTCGTGCAGGCAAATCAACTGCCGTCTGTAGCAATCCCACGAACTTTTCACTCGTCGACAAGCTTCTCTCCTTCTTCGCTGGACGATATGCTAGAGACTTGAATTCCCCGAATAGCATGTCCTTTCCACATCAGCAGCATAACGAAGAAGTAAGAGAAGATCGCAAAGAACGCCATCATTCCATAAACCCAGCCAACATCTACAGCTTCGACCCAGGGATTAATATAGAAGCTGATGGTGAGACCATAAACGATACGGTAGGCCCCGATCACAATGCCGGCTTCGGCAGGGTATCGTGTGAAGCATTCCACAACATAGTTGACGGTGACGGGCACACTAGCCAAAGAGCCGATAGTGACTAAAAAGACCGCAAGCGCAAGTACCATGTAATGCAGGTGGTACTGCAGTGCAGCACCGAAGATGCCCAACCCAATAGGGTTGATGACTAAACTTGGCAGCCAGAGGACGTGAAGACGGTACTCGGGCTTCCATGAGCCACCGTTCCAACGTTTGGCTAGGGCAAGCGGGATGCGATCGTTGAGATAGTGTCCATAGAACTGGACAAAGATAATACCGATCCAGTGGCAGAAGGTAAAAGCCGCATTTTGCTTGAGCGTGAAGCCGTAGCCACCAGCTGCGACCGGTTTCTGAAGCCAAACAGGTGTGAGGGCGTTGACGCCGACGTAGAAGCCGAAGGAAATGAGAGTGAATATGCCCATGATTATCGTGACGGGGCATATTCCGATGAGGAAAGGAGTAATTCCGATTTTAGCCTGTCTTTGGTTAGAGGATGTGGATATTCCATGGCCTGCTAGAGGTGCTGAGACGTACCGTTTCCTTCCAGGTTGTCGGGAATACAACACTTTGTCCGAAGAAGAATGTCGCAAGGCGTTTCGCAACAAGGCCCTGTGGGATCTCAGGGTTTCTTTCGAAATTTACCCTGTCGAACCCAGTTTCCTCAAGCAGACAAAAGCAGCAAATAAGCGTGAAGCCGAGCAGACCGACCGTCCACCAGAACTCGACGGGAAAAAAGGCATTAGCGGAAATGAATCCGGAGAAAGTTGGGCCGGCAATAGTGCCGAAGAGAAAGGCCATATGCAACGCCATGAATGCGCGACCACGTTGATGCAGGAAGAACAGATCAGTCACGATGCGCGGGCCTAGGGTTGTCGGTACTGCTCCGAAGAACCCTGCAAACAATCGCGAAATGATGTACGGAATATAGTCATTAGGGTGGGTCATGACAGCTCCCCAGATCTGGCAAACAAGCGTGAAAAGAATGCACCAAAAGATCACGGAGCTGCGGCCTAGAACGTGTGAGATCGGTGCAAAGAAGAATGGACCGGCGGCCATGCCAGCCAATGCAGCGGAGTTCTATACCCCTGAGTCAGTCTTTTGACGAAATTTCTTCACGCGAGAGGAGACAGATAAACTAAGTCATCAGTACATACCGCGTAAGACTCTTGCAGTTTCGTCTTTTTATACAATTCCTCCTGGTCAGCAAGGTTAAGCTGGCCTGATAGAGGCGCGATGGCGCCAGAGAAAGATGCCAGGCATAACACGGAAAGAATCAAATATTTCTTTCCAGAGGACCAATTCTATGTGTTGTGATGTGAGCATATTTTCGTTATGAGCCCTAGATTTGAATATTCAGGACATTCGCGAGCGACGACCATGACATACCAGAGGATCTCGGGGGTGGGTACTGGGTTTGGGGATTAGGACGAGGTGCACATCGTGCGCGCCGGCGGCGGGCGACGACGCGGAAGTCTCGATATCCTTGGAGTCCTTCGCGTCCATGACAATCGGTCGTTTCGAAGGTTAGTTGCTCGTGTGCAGATGGATAAGCTGCATCAAAGGCGCCAGCTGGGCGCAGAACGGAGAGAGCTAGTAAGGAGCTAAGGGGGGGGGGAACTTCCGATTCTCCGGCCAGCTCTCATTTGTTTTTTTATGCGCCAAAGAAGATTGACGGCTTGGCGGTCTAGTGCCGAGAAACCCATTTGACCTTTATGAGACGCGTCACCTTTGAAGGATTGGCCCAGAGCATTCGGTCGCATATATAGAGTGCCCTGGCTTGTCTATTGATTCGGTTTTGTCTAAGAAACGATTCACGCTAATACTATTCTACTTGTCAGTAGATGGCTTGGGCTAGTGACTTGGCCAGGAAGCTTGGCTCTCCACGAAACAGTTTTGGGTCATCAATACGAGATCGGTGGAGATGCGGATACCCCTGATCGGGTTCAACTTTGGGGGACAGATGCGTAACCAACACAGCTTGGCAAAATCTTTCTATTGTGTGGCTAGGTAATAGGTCGCCATGCGATGGCATAAAGGGACTGGTTTTCAGCATTAGCCGAGATTATCACCATCTCGGTAATTGAGGAGGCCGATCGCGGTGGCAGCTGTCGATACAATCCACCGCGGACATATCCAGACCCACACACTCGTGGGCACGAGACCTGAAAGTCACTCATCCGCCAGTGATAAACATACTCTGGAATAGGATCATACAAAGGATTAAAGTCAATTTCTCGTCTGGAAATCCCTGCTCGTAGGCTGCACAAAAAATATTTACCGCTGATTGGAAATAGGGTAATGCCGATCGCGGAGCAGTCGTCCTTACTTGTACGAGTGGTCGACCGATCTACCCCAATCATCCATCAAAGCAAAGCAGAGAAAAGAATATCATGAAGTTGTTTAGTGTGTACTAGAAATATACTAGTAGTGTATCGATTCTAACTTCAAGATTATTAGATTTTTACGACCACTTTGCCTCGCTACCACTACTATTGCATTGCTGTATATTATGATGTTTCAGCAAACACTGGGCAACAGGTTCGAAAATGAGACAAACTTCACGTAACTAAAGATACTAGTATTTCGAATGGATTTTTATACATCGATTTCCTGTGTTTTTAATTTGCATCCTTTTGAATTGACTTTAGACCAGGGTTTGGACCATGGACCGACTTAAATAAAGTAGGCTCTTATCAAGTACGAAACAGACTAGTTAAGGGTCACGCTACACAGTATGACTAGCGCTCACTAAAGTAAGTCAAGTTTGACTCAGAGGCTAGAAGGACCTCAATCATCCACTTTGACAAGATCAAAGTCCTCTTCAGCTCAACCCAACTGCAACGGCGAGCTCGCAATCGGCCCGAAGTGGGGTTTGAAGGTGGACTTCGGCGTGTTGAGCCGTCGCCGAAGTCGCGCGCCCTACAAAACTGCTCGAGTCACGAAATTTGTGATCGTCTCACAAGAGTTGTAGTTTTTCATTCCGATGCCAAAAAAAAACTTGAAAACTCAAAAAACCATATTATGAAAGTCTTGATAAGCTTTTTATATTCACTGCTCTATATTATTGCCTCCCAACTCACCTCGCCAAAATGCATCACATCGGCGGCGACGCAGATTTGGAGTCCCAAAAACCCTCCCCGCAATTGAGTTCCCCTCACGATTCAGACACAGACGAAGAGTATAAACCAGCACCACCAGCATCACCCGGATATGCTCTTGCTTTCTGGCGAAAAAGCCTTATTTTGTTTGTTGTCAGCTGGATGACGTTGGCGGTTACATTTTCCAGTACTTCGTTGCTTCCCGCGACTCCTGAGATCGCAACTGAGTTTGGGACTACAACGGAGATTCTTAACGTTATCAATGCCGGAGTACTGATTGCTATGGGCTTTTCTTCGTTCATCTGGGGTCCCATAACGAACATTTTTGGGCGTCGGATGGCTTATAACGCAGCCATCATCATCCTTTGCGGATGTTCGGCAGGGACTGCCGTTGCGATTAACTTGCACATGTTCATCGCTATGCGACTTCTCAGCGGATTCACTGGGACTTTTTTCATGGTTGCTGGGCAAACTATTATTGCTGATATTTTTGAGCCAGTCAGTTTCAAGATATATTCCGTCCATTCCAATAACTATAGCTAATATTTTGTCAGGTCGTCCGTGGAACTGCAGTCGGGTTTATGATGGTTGGATCAGTCAGTGGGCCTGCCATCGGTAAGCTTCTTTGATACGTTTGAATTATTGCTGCTATAGATAGACTGACAGTTTCACAGGCCCCTGTATCGGTGGAATTATCGTTACCTTTTCCCAGTGGCGCATTATCTACTGGCTTCAATTCGGCATGACTTTACTTGGCCTCGTTCTTTCCATTCTTTTTGTGCCAAAAATTGGGGAAAAGAGCACCTCCACTTCAGGACAGTCACGAAACATATCTCGTATTTTGAGAATGTTCAACCCTCTCCTCATTTTTCGCCCATTCATCTACCCAAACGTGTTTCTGTCTGTGAGTGAAGGTCCCTCCCATTCCTCTTTAAATCGATTGCGGACCTGACCATTGTAGCACCTCACCTGTGGCCTTCTCGCCACCTTCCAATACGCGATTCTTACCTCTGCTCGCTCAATCTTCAACCCGCGCTTCAACCTGACTACTCCCCTCGTTAGCGGTCTATTCTATCTCTCGCCGGGAATAGGCTTCTTGATAGGAAGTGTTGTTGGCGGAAAATTGTCCGATCGCGCAGTCAAGAAGTGGATTGTCAAGCGTAATGGGATACGCCTCCCTCAAGATCGACTAAACAGCGGCCTCATTACTTTGATCGTTGTACTCCCTGCTTCGACACTGATCTATGCATGGACTTTGCAACAAGAAGTAGGCGGAATGCCTGTGCCGGTCATCAGTGCTTTTGCGGCAGGTGTTGGATTGCTCGGAACATTTAATGGGCTTAACACATATTCAGCTGGTATGTATTATTGCGGAAGAATGGCAAGTTGACCCTTACTGATCGTGATTTACAGAGGTCATGCCGCATCTCCGATCGGAAGTGATTAGCGGCAAATACGTTGTGCAGTATATATTCGCTGCCGCCGCGACAGCAGCAGTTGAACCATTGATCAATTCTATCGGGGTGGGCTGGACATTTACAATCTGTGAGTTTGGATCATCTGTCGGCTCGTTAAGGATCCGAGGTCTAACGCAATTCCAGGTGTCTTTTTTGCCCTCATCGGCGGGCTTTTTGTTTGGATCATTACGAAGTGGGGAATTAACATGCAAAGATGGGTTGAAGAAAAATTGGGCGAGGACGAAAAGCCAACATAATCACCAAGACGCATTATTTGACCAACTTATTAGCGACATAGCAGCTGCATCATAGATTTGGACAGAGGGGGGTTCGGGACATGACTTGACGAGATAGATTAATACAGAACGAGTATAATTTTTGAACGAATTATATGGGACTGAGAATCCGTCCTTTAAACATAATCTATGGTGAAATCCCTCAAACACCAGTAGTATGTCAACTGTCAATCGAGATGCCTTTCAGACCAGAGGGTAAGGTAACGAATACCAAAGCTCTTGTTTGGGCTTAATGCACACTTCTCGTCTTTAAACCCTTGCAAATGCAGATCGACAGAAATAGCCGTGAAATATCATCTGTTTTCACTTCGAGTGATGAGTCAATTTGCAGCATCCAGCTTGTGAAAACTACTTACAACATGTCGAGAGTCGCTTTTACTGGTCTCCACTCCAATACCGAAACACCGCCGTTATTGGTGGAATGACCGATGTCACATCGGCGGTGACAACCGAAAGCCTCGGCGCATCTGAAAGCATCGCCGACCGCATGGCATCTCCCCTTCCTTCCATCTTCGCACTGACCAATCCCGGGTGTAACAATGAGAATGACGAGATGACACAATCCGTAGGGCTGAAGCGGCGCTCACTGTTCGAAGATGAAGACGAAGATAACGGGCGCCAACAACGAAGGAAGTTTGTCGCGTAAGTGCTCCCATCTCGGTCTCCACACAAACCCCAGAGCAAAACGAACGATTACTCACCTATCGCAGCTGTCAGAGATGCCATGCGCACAAAATCAAATGCTCCGGTGATTTGCCCTGCAGCAAGTGTCGCGCTGTCGGCTGTGCAGATGACTGTGCCTATGCCCCACGAGACCGACAGGTCAAAGTGAGCGAGAAGTATGACGTCGAGCAATGTGAGCCGTGGAGAGCCCCGCTAAAAGAATGTTCTTTCAATCTATAGTTATCTGGATCAGATTCTAGCGGAAAATCGGCGCCTGAAGGAACAATCGGTTACTTCGGCCGACGGGGCCGGCGTCAACGAGCCTCCACAAGCAGAACGGTATGCCCTACCCCATTTAAGTTCCTGTTTGGTGCCATAGTATAGTATATTACGATGGTGCAAGTAAAGGAAGAGTCCAGTGCTGAATAAAGAGAAATAGAGGCCCCTCTCGACCAGCTGATACAGCGGACAACACAAGTATTCAAAATCCCATCATCGGTGACCGAGCCTGGTTCCACCGCTATGATCCCTCCTCGCCACCTATCTATATCGGTGAAGCAGCATGTTCGGCTTTCGCCACGCGCTTCCGACGATTTCTCACAGGGAACAATGCCACAGCGCATATTACCCGAACACAATGGGAGCGCGAGGAGACGATTGCAGCTGCCGCCAACGAGACAAATGTCCAATGGCCGAGCTTACACCATGCGCGGTTACTGGTGCGCATTGCGATCCATCAGATCGGATACCTGTACCACTTGATGATGCGCAAATCTACTCTTGACAGGCTTGAGGAGATCTATCTAACGGGGGACTTTGATTGCACTGCGAACAAGTGCAAATTCTTTGCCCTTTTCGCTTTTGGACAGGCTTATTCCATTCGGTCTGAACCGAGCCCTGGCTTGCGAGTTCCCGGAACCGCATATTTTGCAAAGGCTATGAGCTTGGTGCAGATTCTTCCTGAGAGAACCAGTATCACGCACCTGGAGACTCTATTGACTCTTGTAAGTGTGATTAGACAGGTTTTTATGACTCTTTTCTACAGAAACCTAACCATCTGTACAGTCTCTATTCTCATACTACCTCAACCGACGGCACTCAGCCTATGTCCTGATCGGAAATGCAATGCGCATGGGTCTCACAATAGGGCTTAATCATAACATCCCCGAATCCCAACTCATCGACCCCGTTGAACGCCAGCACCGCATTGAGATCTGGTGGACAATCTATATCTTTGACCGAATGTGGGGGTCCAAGATGGGTCTACCAATGCAAATACTCGACGAAGACATCCACGTCGACATGCCGAGTCCAATTACTCCGCACTGGCGCCACGAAGAAGAACTTTCAGATACAGAATACATGACCGCAAATATCCAACTCGCCCGTATAGTCGGCGAGACGATCTCCAAGCTCTACAGTCGACGAAAATACCAAGAGACGTTTCTCCAACGCGTACAGAAACTCCTCAAAGCGCTCAAGAACTGGGTCGATACCCTTCCCGAAAGCTTACGATTGAATATGGAAGACCTTGAGTCGAGCAAAAAACCCATTGTCTCGCTCCATATGGCATTTAATCAATGTGTGATTCTAACTACCAGGCCAACACTCCTTCACCTCCTCATCACCCTCCATAAGAAGAAAGAGAAGAGCAGTGCAACAAGCAACGGCATAGCACCAAACGATGCCGCAACTGGTCAAATTGAAGAACCAATCGTCTCTCAACCAGTCCTCACGCTCAGCGAAGCATGTATCCATGCCGCAAGACATTCCCACTCAATGATCCTAACTCGCTGGATAAACGGTACAATGCCGACATTCGGTTACTTCCACGCCCACTACCTCTTCTCATCAGCACTCATCCTCGCCATGTCCAGTTTTGTACCCATCGGCAATCCAAACGACATGAGCTGTTTCGACTCCGCCCTCGATCTCTTGCGCTCGATGTCTGAAAATGGAAATCTCGCCGCAGCCGAGTTCTACCATAACCTCGAGCAGGTGAAAATGTGCCTGGACACGTATCGCGGTATACCACCTCGACCGCGACGCAACTATGCCGTGAGTAGTAGCAGCAGCACTGGCAGCGTTGCTGCTGGTATTGGCAGTGGCAGTGGCATTGGCATGAACAGCGGTGTTGGCATCCACACCGCGGAAAAAGTACCCACCGAATTCACCAGCAACGCCATTGGAAATCCACCAGGGGCATTCCCTGCCATGCCATCGCTCTCGATCTCGCTTCTGCCCCCACATCATTCACATTCTAATTCTACACCCGCCCAGACAGCTGCAGGACCAGGGGCAAGTGCAGCATCAACACCAGGCCTATCGGCAGAAAATGAACATTTACTCACCGGATCTGCACTGGCGCCACCCCCGCCGTCATCCACGCACACAACGTCGGAGCCATATACATTCCCGGCGCGTGAAACGATAAGCGGGTACACTACACAGATGGCATTTTTGGAGCCTACGATGCAGGACTTTTTGGCGCAGTCGGATATTGACCTCGGGCTTTTGCATCCGGTTGATACTTTTCTTAGCGAGGCGGAGAATTTGTATACTTGTCATGAGCTTTGAAAAATTGGCGGCTGGGCAGGTGGGCATGTATAGTACTACTAGTACTAGTACTAGCACCTATCCATGGATACGGGCCCGGGAGTTCCGGGATTCTGCTACTAGTAGTATGGGTACCTACCCGTGGACTTGGTAGGGGTGGGGGAGGAGGGGCTGGGCTTGGGACTAGCGGTCTGGTCTCACCGTGGATCATGGACTACTACTGGACGAGTATTTGTGATCTGTAATGTCTATTTTTGCTTTTTGCTTTCAGGATTTCTCTTTGCACTGAAGCGAATATACAGTCGTTGTTTGTCGAATTTGAATTATTCCAAAGTTATTTCGATGTATGTAGCGCAGGGCAAAGATATTCCAAGATTAATGATTATGATAATTAGTAAGGTCGTTGATGTGTTAGTGTTTATCTCGTCAGCCATGCACGCATGTCCCTGCTTCAACCAAAGATTTTGAGAAGAGTGGCAGCCCTGGAGTAATCTGCACAACCAAGCCCAATTGGATAAGCAATGGTCGGACTTTACTAGAGTCAGTGAATTTGGTGGTTACTAAATTTAGTATGCCTAATGAACAAGATTTCAGTATGGGGCGGAATGATATCGCTGAATACTGCACTAGAATCAACAACGTTTTCAAATAGGCAAGAACAGTCCTGAAATATGCAAGGGGTAGCAAATGAAAACCTAGACCTCGGCGAAAACCCAAGCCAAGGGGTAGCATACACGCCAGCCCGCCCACCCATCCACTCCGGAACAACACCCCAAAACAAAATGTATCCAAAACGATGGGGTAAACCATGTTTGGTAGAAACAACACCGCCCAGTAGCGAAGAAAGATGACGAGAGAAAGAAGCAAGGTATGGATCCAAAGGGCAACCGGCATGGGTTTGATCCATATGTTGAGGTCCAATGCGGAGCCTCGAAAGCCAGGATGAGCATGATGGCAAGGCCAACTTTGACAGTAGAGCCCAATATCACGGTTCCGATTTCGATTCTGCAGGAGAGCAGAAAGGTGAGACTGAGTCCCAGAACCTAGAAATCGAAGTCAATTTCCAGGGAGAATTTCGGTCCATGCCGAGAAAGGATGTCCATACAGACAAGCCAGGCTCGGTGTGCAGAAGGATCTCTGCCCGACATGGCATAGAGCCAGTGGACAGCCTTCCGAACCTTCTCCGCGAGCCCGATAGCCTCGGGGGTTCCGGGTAGAGTTCTGGCGAAGAGCTCAACAAGGATAACCGTTGCGGATTGCATGACGTAGTGGAGAACACACCACCAGGGCGAAGCCTCATATAACCAGTTGACGTCGGGTTCCTCGGGTAGGATGTCTAACATCTGCTGCGCAGATTCCACGCACGTTGTTGCCATTATATCACACACGGAGCTCGGGGAGGGTGTGCCGAGGACTTGATGTGCTAGACGGCGGAGACACGGTTGCGAGATAACAAGCTTAGTGGTGTAGAAGTGGAAAGCTAGGCTGACGCGCTGGCGGATGAGAGGACGCGCATTGTCGAAGTCGCCGAACTGAAACTCCGCTGGAAGACGGGAGAGCCAATTGTCAGCAGTGGTGTTGAAGTTAGAGATTGCCACTTCCATCTCCAACCACGACCGCCGTGTCCCTGCCCCGGGTGCGTACAAGGTTTCGATTGCCTCCCGCATTAAAGTCGCCAAATCTACCACATAAAGAAAATAAAGGGAGATATTTGGTGATAGGGGTTCCGCTATCGGCTGGGGCGTTTGCTCGGCGCCTGTGCCTGACGACACGGTTACCGAAGAGGCCACGCTAGACCCAGGGGTGATGGGATCGGAGGAGGTGAGAAGAGAGGCTAACAAATTGACCCGGGCTTTGTAGTTGGTGATAAACTGAGTTACTCCTTCATCCCAAAAGTCCTCTTCGCGATATGGAACGGGAAGGGGCGTGGTGCAAAAGATGTCGCCGGTGCTGGGGGGCCGCCCTGTCATCACGCATAGCACAGTATCCAACGCAAATAATGCCCACCACACGCGGTATCGAGTTTCCTTTGATAGATGGGCAACACTTTCCGTCTCGCTACGGAGATTGAGTCCCATAGCCACTGCTGAGCGAATCGCTGTCCCGATGATACTCCAGGACCTAATGAAATAAAGAGTCGATTAGGCAAACCCACCACCAAAAGAGCAAAAAAAAAATAGAGAGCCATCAAATGGAGACACACCTGTTTACCTGTCCCGTCGACAAGAGGTAAAATGCGGCTAGACCCTCTACCTGCACCTGCTGAAGGTTTGGATGGTCTAACAACACGACGCTGCCCACGCCTAATCGCCATGCCCGAGCAAAGTAGGCCAAGTGATCAGTATAGTTCCCCTGGGGATGACTTTGAAGCAGATGGGAGTGTTTTGCTGCGATGGCAAACACGAGGTTGAGCACGGCTGTCCATCGCTTCCCGGGTCGCACGTTAGAATTCGTGTAGAAGGACCGGTATTGGCTGAGAAAAATCTCCTTGCCGATGATGGGGAAATCAGGATGAATGGTTTGGAAATAGCTTTCGACGAGCTTATCGGCAATCTGCTGGGGCGGTCGAACTGAAACGTCAATATCGTCAGGGATAGGGATGTCCGAGTCATCTAGAAAGTAATTGAGAGATGAGATCGATGGTCGATCGGGGGATGTCTCCGACGGGGGTGAGAGCGCCTTGATCTAGGTCGCGCTTGAGTCTGTACAACCATGCCACCTCTGAGTGCTCCCCAACAAATCCCATCGCCTGGGATGCTTCATCGCGGTTGAAATCCTCCTCGGTATGGTCTCTGGCGATTAGCGGGTCTCCTGTTCTTCCAGAATCGGTTCGAGTGGCCGAAGATCCGGGGGACTGGTCATGGTTAGACGGGATCACATGTTAGGGAGAGAAATGACAATGGAAACAATGAGACAATGGAACAGTGAGACGCAGGAAATGAACATAACGAAATGGTTTCAGGTCAAGGTTTGGAGAGGGGAGGGGGGAGAGATGTGAAGGGGGCGTGGAATCTCACTCTGACTAATAGACCACCAAGGGCCTGATCAACGTGCTGTGCGGATGTTGAGTCCAGGCGTGGGTACAGATCTCGTAGCAAGCTTTCGTAGTTATGAACTTGTGCTGATAGATCTTTTAGTTCTCTACTCTCTTGGTTAGATGACGATCACACATCCCATGAAGCGCCAACACGCACTTGACCATCTTTTCTCGTTTCCGATCGCCATAGGAACATCGGGTACTACTATCCTGACAGCGCTGACAGGAGGGGCGATGTCCGCTGCATTTGGCCTTTTGATCGCGACAGTTTTCACAGGCCCTACTGACGCGGCCACTGGTAGTGTAGCTACTCAGGATAAACCGAACGAGGAATCGGGACCTTTGCGTTCATAGGCCGCTGGCCTGGGTTGGAACCCGAACGGTCATCGCCAGGGATAGGGTCCATAATAACCCGGAACCCAGACGCCTGGGTCTGGGTATGGCCTAGACTGACCTGATCGTAGACGATTGAAGCTGACTCGTGCTCCGAGATGCTCGGCCCTGGTTCGGGATGAGACGGGCGTCGGGAGAAACTGTCGCTCAAGACACGACAATTTGTGGGTTGTGTTGGTGCAGCTGGTGGGAAAGGGTATACAAGAAAGCACCATTTGAGCCTAGCGGGTTTGGCAGAAGAAAAGGGAAAGGCCAAAAGGAGTAGCCCTAGAAAAAAATGCCAGGGCTGTACGAGTACCTATAGCCATGCACCCCGCGATAGTAAATTTTTTTTTTCCTTGATTTTTCCCTCTTATTTTCCCAATTGCTCCTAGAGCAGTTTTGGGAGTTCGTGGGGACCCGTATACGGGACAAGTTCACGCAATGGGTTAGCAAAATGGAGTGTGGATATGGTCTCGCGAAATGCTGCGCTGTGGTATGTCGGATGTGAGAGCCGTCGTGTTTTGCCACTTTAGCCCGATCGAGCCCCCTAAGTACTAGAGTGGCGCTCTGGTAATTTGTCACCGATGATATGTCGCAAGGAGACGAGTTGTATGCAGATAGTGGATTCTTTTCTAGTAACATCATTTTGTTTAATCAGCTTAATTCTTATTTCGTCCATTCTTGGTGACGAGTAGACGAGGTCATTGTATTCGAAGAAATAGGGTGACAAGATACTCGCAGGAACACCTTGAGCTTGTCCTGGACTGTCCTGGCTTGTCAAAATACACAAAGCTCCGTGCTTTTGACAAATCTGCAATCACTTGTCTCGTGAATACAGCGATGCTCACAGTCAAAGCTCGTTTCGACCTGGGGCATGGACATGACCAGATTGATAGCTAGCTCGCAGGTTTCTCGTTCTGCACTTGGCGTCCAAATGCTGCCCGAGTCGATACACAAATCCGTAGTCATAACAAATTTCCCATCAGGTGCTCCACCGGTGTAATATGGAAAGCCTATACTCGGTTCGGCCTTTCTCTCAAGCTTTGTCTTAGCTTCACGCAAGCTGCCCTTGCTGGTAGAAGCCCTTTTCTAGTCAGTGAGCACAAGGAGGCAATGCGCTGTCGCCGGTAGGTATGAGTGTGTCTTTGAAAGCAGCCAGTTGAATAATAGCCTTCGCCATTCCAACCCTGGGGCTTGCACATGTACCGGGCCCGCAGCACATCCCCCTTGAGATAATTCCACCATCAACAAAAACCCTGATAGCTTCGTTGATTTTTCATCACTCGAACGTGGTCGTTGGTTCTTGATTGGTAGCCTCATAATCAAGATAACTCACTCTTCTTCTTCTTCTTCCCCCTTCACAATTCGACATTTGGTGGTGCTGACCTTCAGCCGAACGAATCCGATCCGCGAGAAGACTTTGTCATTTCCCCTCGACACAGCGCAGGGGGATCAACCCAATCGAATTGCATCCCATACACAACAAGTATTCTGCTTCGAGATATCTTGGTGCGGTTCCAACGATACCAAAAGGCTTTTGTTGAGTGTCGAGTCTACTCAGGAAGGACGCCGCTTGGCTGAGCGGAGTTTTGACACGCAAGACTACAGGCCGGTAATCTGTTGGGGTTGAGAGCAAAACACAGGAACCTTACTTGAACCAATAACAATATGATAGTCAGCCATATCTAAGGTGATTATTTTGGCTGGGATTACTGATGAAATCGGTAAGTCATGGGACCTCGCGGAGTCAGGGGAGAGGAGCCGTCAAGGGCACCCGGCGACCACGGCTGAAGCGTTCGGTTTGTCTGGTTCTCGCCTCCGTCACAATTGGCTTCGCTGAAACTAATGGATATAGCCACAGGATGTTTTGTCTCGAACTCGAGTCTCTCACAGCGGAATCCGATCGTAGCTGACGACCCTGACGAAGCCAACGTAACACGCATCAACCTGCAACGTGACGCCGATCGACCCCAGATACCCATGTCAGACCCGAGCATTCATCTGCTCATTTGCATGGCGGAAATAATTACCCTTGAGGGTTACTCAGTGTTATGGGGGTCCAACGCATCTGTCATACTGAGTATGACTCCCATGTCGATGACACTTCGCCGAGCTTGATAAAGGTCCCCACGAGTGCACCCCCCAACGGCCGGTCAAATAGTTCTGACCTTCACAAAGCGTTTATTCACGGGAGACAGAAGCCTCAATTTATAGCCTGCGGTGATGACTTCGGATGCCCGTGTCTTGGTGTCAGCGGCGCTCATCTGCACCCAAACAAATAACATCGGGTGGAGTTGCGCCTCAACACCATGGAAACGGCGACCAGCTAGGTCCAATAATTGACTTGTGGTCTGTACTTCATAGCGACAAGGGCGTATAAACACTTTGTGGGTGGGTGTTGCGAATGTCAAACTGCAGCCCAGTTACAGCATTTCATGTGGTCTGCGTTAGACCTTTGGAAGCCGATGCCACTAACGCATTAAGATCCACCGAACAGAAAAAGAAAAATCAACCCGATTCTTGCTGGTCGAAGATATTTCCTTCCAGCCTGGGTGTGATGTTCTCTTGCTGTGGCCGTTTTCAAAGTTCTTTTTGGAAGATATCGTTCCGAACGACAGTGGCGTCCCTCCCGATAGGGCTGCATGGACCAAATATGGGGGCCCGCATGAACATTCTATTGAGGATGGTCAACCATACTGTTTGAGATATATATATACTAGCCTCAAGTTCGAGGAAGTAGAAATGGATTCAAATGCCGAGTCTTTTCCGCCTTCAAAGACAACATTCTGAGAGTGAATGGTTGAGGGGTTGTGACGACATCTGTGACTCGGAGTGGTGGCCGGAGTGCGACCGGGTCTCAGAATGTCTTGATGACGAACTAGACCGGAGCCAAAAGGCTAAGCAGGAAATATGCGGGGCCAATTGATTGAATTAAGACTTGTTGTCGTTTTCAACATGAGGGCGAGAGGGGGAAGATGAAGGGGTGTGGTCAATCCCTGGAACTCGGGAGCCAGGTGATTTTCTATCGGAGAATAAATCCGTCGTCGCTGAACCATTCACATCCCGGGGAAAGCTCCTTCTGAGCCAGCATTCGCCCAGGATTTCATGCGGGAAGTTGCAGAACCAAGCATTCCTCGAGGTCATCTCACGTTTCTTGGAGGGTTTGAAGGCTCAGCGTCTCTCTCGGTAAAGTCATATGGGGGTGGCAACTAATATACAAAGCCGGACAGTGCTCCCTCAAGGCTTAGCCTGGATGAGGCTTGTGGAACCACCAACATTCTCAACCAGAAATGGAACTGGGGGCCGGGGGGGCACGAGGGTCTTTCTTGCAGAGTTGGAGTTGTACTAATGAATCATGATAATTTCTGGAGGAAGGGCAGGATGAATGATCAAGTGAAGTGTGAGTGGGTTGTGGTCCTTAGGTTTGTTCTGTTTGGCTACTCTGGTCTGGTCGTGCCTTTCTTGGGTCAGCCTTTTCTGCTCTGCTGTTGCTCTCTGCTGTTGCCCTGTTGTTGCTTTGTTTACTTCAGGCTTCTTCCTCAATAGTCACAAGTCACAAGTCACCTGTCTTTCCGTCTTTCCTTTTTCCACCGTCTCCAGCATATAAGATTTTATCCAGACCACATCTCACATCTTACTGCCCTCACGTCGAGATCACCCATTACCCCCCCGTGCAACAGACCGGTGGCAAATTTCGCCAATTTCGAGGTCCGATTTAGCACCCACCAATCCTGCCGTGGCTTGTTTGATACGCGAAATTGTCACGCCACAGTACTCTTGGATACAAACCCTGAATTTGTATCACACTAACCAACCTTGACCACTCGCAGTTTCTGGGTTCTTGCCACATGCTAGTGGCTCGGCCCGGGTTTGCATCTCTAGCCTCTAGCCCCTCTCACTATGGAGTACGGGGTACAGGACACACAAAAGACCCAGAGATCCCCAGCTAATCGAATGTCCATTGAAAGATCCCGGTCTTGTAGGGTCGTATTAATTTCCAACTATAACCTTGATATGCTATTTTTCATGTCGTCAATACACTTTCTCCGGTTTTGCATTGACACAGCCTCTTCCCTTGGCGTATGGTCTTTCAATTGTAGTTTCGTTTTTGTTTTTCTCTTTTGAGATCTTGGGTCAATATTGTAGCCTGAGGCACCAATATGGTAACTATCACGTGGAGACAATATGGGGGTGTCACGTGGTCTCCTATCTTATCGGGGAGCTCGCCTGGGGCACCTTGAGCACCTAAGGTTAGCTGCAACCATTGGAAACCATCCGATTTCAAGACTACCCCAGAACACGAGCTTCGAAGTTGCCAATTGTCCCCAGCGATGCAAGCAAGATAACCCCGGGGAAAGAATGTCACTGCGCGGGCCCATGCGCCAGTCGCATTTGCGGCAGGTGAGCGCCGCAAGTCTAGAGACAGTGTCCACCATCCAATCTTCGATGGAGACAGCTCGCCGAGATCATGGCCCCACGTCGGACGAGCACATCGTCCGTCTTTCCACCAGTCTGACTCGGCATCAATGCACGCTTTGGGTGCACAATGATCCCTTCTCCCCGGAAGAGATTCTGCTCAACCCCTCGGTATTTGGCGAAAGTGGCGTGCAGGTCGGAGACCTGGTCGAGATTCTACCCGTTCGCGCTCCCGGTGATTCAATTCATTCAGGCGTAAAGCCAGACTCGGATATTAAGACCGCTCGTGAATCTCACCCGGACTTGAGTACGACCTCGCAATCCGATGGCACATCCAAATTCAAAACTCCCCTGCAATCCCGCTGTCTCTTTGTTGTGAAGCCCATCCCGCAAGATATCAAACTTCGCAATCCCAGGTTGGAGATCTCCATCACCGGAAATGTCGCCAATACATTCGGCTTCAAGAACCGTAGTCAGGTTGTGCTTTCTATAGTTGACCGCGATCAATGCGCGGCATCTCATGTCGATATTGCTTTCCGTGATCAGTATATGGTCCGATCTGACATGTGGAGATTGGTGATGTCGGAACTTTCTGAGAAAACCATTTACAAAGGTCAGAAAATCTCTTTCATGAACAGTATCAAGGCCACAGTCAAGAACATCTTCATTCGAGAGAAGAAAGTTCTTTCGGGATATTTCGCATCCAACACGATTCCTGTTTTCCGGAGCGAGTCCGCCAAATACGTCCTGTTTATCCAAATGTCTAGAGAGATGTGGAATTTTGACTCAGAGGGCTCTGGTGATATTCTCTTCAGTCGCGTCATCAACGGCTTCCTTCCGGAACTCTTCAAACGGTGGGTCAATTCCGACGCAAAGCATCTAGTCACCATCGTACTCTTCACCCGTGTAGAGTACGATGCATCTGCCCATCCCAGTATCACATCGCTTACTGCGGGTAATGCGAAGAGTGCGGGCGGCAACCTTGTCCCGACCCGAGACTTTTACCGCGTGGTTGTGAACGACATGGCCAGCGGTCATTGGACAACCATTTTGGATGAGCTCAAAAGAAATTTCAGATCCTTTTTGAGAGATGTCTCGATTCTCAAGACGAACGATCTCGATGCTGCCGCTGGAAGTGGTGTCAAAATCCCGTCCAAGCCACACACTGCAGTTATTGCAGGACGCCCCAGCACAGCCCTACGCGGGAATATTTTGGAAGCCATTCATCTCGCTTCGGCCCACTTGGCATATGACCACATCGATCGAGATATGGTTCATACCGGCACATCCATTATTGTCATTACACCTGGAAGTGGCGTCTTTGAGGTTTCGCACGAATCTTTAGCTTCTACAACAGAAGCCTTGGCGAATCGCGGCATTGCTATTGACCTTGTTTGTCTGAGCCCAATGCCTCTTCACTCTGTGCCGCTGTTCAAGTATCGAGCGCCGGTGGAGAGACAGTTCACCGCAGGCTCTAGCAGCACCCCCCAAGGAAACGTGTCGCCCGAGATCCATCACTCAATATCCAGCCTTGTGAGCAGATCATCTTACCTCTCACCGGGCTCTTATCTATCTGCGACACGAATGCGTGAAAGAGGAAATCCTCACTTGGGGGAATGGAGCTACGGAATTCCTCACTGGCTCGACATTTCCTATTGGAATCCGGAAACTTACCGAGAAGCCCGACGAATCCTGAAGAATGATCCAAATGCACCGATCCCATTTACCGTCACTCGGCCCTCCAAGGCATTTACTCCACGGGTTCGAATGTATGAAATTCAGATGATGGGGGTTATGGAAAGTGAACAGTCAAACATCTCCATTCCATACCTTTTGGAGGGTCTCGATATGGCAAGACCCCGAGGATCCTGGCCTGGGAATAATCCTATATCTCGAGGTCCACCAAGGGCTCGATTCGCGCAAACTGCATCACTCAAAGTCGAGTACAGCGAAAGCCTTCGGCCAGGGTCCTTCCTCGAGAACGTTGAGGACGAAAGTGATCTTCAGACCAAAACTCCACAAAAGTCCCGCAAATCTATAATGGCTTGGATGGATCAGTACGACGACAATGTATTTGCGGCCACCCCCAAACCACGCCAGAGCCAACGGCCCAAAAACAAGCGACTCAGCGAGCCAGAGGTACAAGCTGTCGCAGCACATGATCGAATTTCTGCACGGTCGATCTCACGGCTCAGAGACAAGGATAATAATATTCTTGAGACCAATCCAGCTATGCGAGCCGGGCCCCGACGAATTGATACTTCTGCTATGGCTAGTCCCAAGAGCCCTCTTTCTTCTGAAAGCAGCCCGTCGCCAAAAAAGTCTTCTTTGAAGCCGTCGACTACGCCTATTTCGTCGAGGATATCAAGAACAATCAGTTTTGCACTCCGGGGCTTGAGTGCTGCTCCCTCTAAAGCAATTGCAAGTACGGGTATCCATGTGGAGCACGCAAATGCGTTACCCATGTCAAACCAAAGAGCCGCAGGTTCGGACACCAGGAGTATCGCATCCCTGAGTCCTTCCGAGTCTACTTCCACGCCAACGATCATGGAAGTATCGTCATCCAGAGCATCTACTCCCCCTAGAGAGCTCCATGGAAGTCGTGTAACCCCTTCCAAGCCTATCTCAATCAAAGTTCCCCCGAAGAAGCCAGCGGAATCCCCGGATAAACAGCAGCACGGGGATACACAAGCACCATTGTCGACATCTGCAGTAGAAAACCCATTCGACGAGGAGGGACGCCAGGAAGGTCAATCCCGCTATCATGAGCAAAGACCTGAGATCAAGATAAACCACGGCTCCCGAGATTTTACAAAGGGGTCGCCAAACAAAGCACTCGCCCCATGGGTCAGATCTGTTAACCCTTGCAATACTCCTAAGGATGTCATGCGCAATACCAGCTGGTTTGGTCGCTGGCAGCATGCATACCCTCGCCCTCCGCATGTAGCTGTGGTAAAGTGGAAAAGTTTGAAGTCACCGGCAGTGCTGCCATTGACAACCGAAGAGTTTCCCACCGCCACCGAACTTACTTCAGACTATCTGCAAACCCCATACCGCGTTTTCCCAAACGACGATGTTGAAGGATTCGAGCCACCAAAAACCCGAGGAGTACTCCTGCGCGAGATGATATCGCTACGTCTCTCCCATGGCTTTCAAATCGTTGTTGGAAGACATGTAGCGGAAGTAACATCTCAGCCTGCCATGGAGTCCTTGAACGTTTTTGACCCTCGAGGTCTAGAGCGAGATGGCGTTACAGTTTTCTTGTCTAAGGGAAGCGCTATTCACCGTCTCATCTGTATCCAGGGTGGAGAAATTGAGGTGACCCGCTTCACGCATCAATCTTCGGCGACGCTCACGATGCCCAAGAGGTCTAATCTGACCTTGTATCAGCCAGCCATGAGAACGATTCTGAGACCAGAGTATGAGATTAAAGACATCAAGCTGGATCCTACCGCCGAGGAATATAATTGGAACTACGCGGACAACTATGTCGCCGGTCACCGCGATTATCTCCATAATCCAGCGCAGCAACTGCATTTCTGGAGGGTCCGCTACGTCTTGATCCCCATGCAGCTCCAGTCCACTTCACGACGTCAACTCCAGCCCTACAACGAGGATAACGAGGAGGAAATTCATATTCTTGGAATCAGCCGGCTCACCTCTATTTGGCAAAAGCAGAAATATGTGTCCCCGGAGGAGAAACGCTTTGAATCGTCGACTAAGAAACGAGACCAGAATCCGCTCAACATCATGTATCAGACTCGGAACCCATCGGAAGTTGTTGCCGCAGAGCTGGATCGCGTGCTGCTCACTGATCCTGGGCTTGACAATCCACCTGCTCAACTGCTGCCCGAGTCAGAGCTACTTGAGAGGTCTAGTCTTAACCTTTCATCGCTGTCACAGAGAATACAAGGTGAGAAGGGAGTTCGGTTGATGGACCGAAGATGGCATTGGAGACTGCATTACAACTGCTTTATTGGTGTTGAATTTACGACCTGGCTCTTGCAAAACTTCAAAGACATTGATACGCGCGACGAGGCGATTGTGTTTGGAAATGAATTGATGAAGGAGGGTCTATTCCAGCACGTCGAGAAGCGACACAATTTCCGAGACGGCAATTATTTCTACCAGATCTCTGCCGAATTCCGTCTCACACGGCCCGAATCTCGGGGTGGTAGTTGGTTCCCCCAATTACGCGCGGAAAAGTCTACTCCATCAACACCAGCTATTGGCAACGTCAGAGATTCACCTTCAAGTTTCCGGACTCGTTCTGACAGCACAGATGATCGAGTTCCCCAGACCCCGACCACGCCTTCCAAGGGCAAAAACAAAGTTGCCATTATGCTTTCAAAGTCCATTAAATATGATGTGGATGCTCGTAAGCGATCGAATCGGGCGGAGGTGATTGACCTTCACTATGACCGGCTGCACAACCCTGAGAACTGTTTCCATATTGAGTTAAGCTGGATGAGCACGACCCCCAAGATGATCGAAGACACGGTACACAACTGGGCCTCGACTGCTGAGAAGTTTGGGTTGAAATTGGTCCAAGTTCCTATCGCTGAAGCATGCGCCATCGATCGAACCCAGCCATTCCGAAAGCCATACAAAATCACACTGAAGACGCCGGCGCCAAAAGGCCCCGTCCATACGGTCTTCAACAATGCATCGTTTGCACAGCCCGGGCCACCGGACCCGCTCTACTACCAGAAGTGCATATTACGCAAGTTTGACTTCGTGCTTGATTTCGAGGCCGCTTCCGCGTTCCCCGCGGATGTCGAGGTCTCATTTTCCTGGGGCAAACCCGACTACAAATACCCTCAGTTCATCCACCGAACAGGTAGCATCCTAGCCCAGATCACCGACGAAGGCGATTTCCTCCTCCTAGCAAACCGTCTAGTCAGCACCCGGACCGCTGCAAGTCGTGACACAGGCCGGTACGAGCATCATAATCGCACAGACTATCGGGGCCGCCCAGCAGCAGCCCACGATCCACTAGATCGTACTTGCTCGCCACGTCTCTCACCAATGACCAGACCTCTCCACGATATCGGAAGCCCGATGCCGAACCCAGTCTCATCCAACTTCGACTCTGCAAACCTCTACCGGGCCCCAGAACACATCCTCAACGTCCTTCAAGAGTTCTGCAATGATGTCATCCAGCTGGAGCAATTCTACAAGGAATCGCACGTCCGTCCAGTCTCGACAAAGGTCGAGCCCGCAGCCGCACATCATCTCATGGATACTTCTATCCCATCCTTGGAGTTACCTGCCAGCGTGGTTAGCCACCACATCTCTCCCCCGCCCGGATTGCCGTCTCGTGTTACGAACGACCGGCGTGAATCCCACGACGGATTGCAGTCGCCAGAATTGGTGCGTGCTCGTGCGCGCGGTGAGAGTCTGAGCTATACTCGTAGTCCACGAAGTGGGACCTTGCGACCTCTGATTTAGGATACCAGATTCGCAATGCCTTTCTGATGGACTTGCTTTTTTTTGATTAATCTTGTTTTGTACCAAATACCCTGTCTGCGATTATCAGTGTCATGTATACGATAGTTTTTATGGAATAAATGTTCTCTCTCCATTTTTCACCCCGCTGCTACCTCAATGGAAGGAAGTATAAGTAAGTATTGCCTGTCACGAAAGAGGCTATATGAGCCGTAGAATCCGGAAAACCACCCAGGCAGACACCGGTAAAATTAGTTTAGCTACACTTTAATCTTCGGTATTTATCACGAATCTATTCGGCGTTTCCAACAAATCTAATCCGATCTAATCTAATCCCGATGAATACCCCCAGTATTCCACTAAAAACGCCACAAGGGAAGGGGGCCTTTAGCCAAATCGCCCTGCATTCAGCCGAAACTCGCCCTCGCAGCCTCTGGTTGGTGGACATGCCGGATATACCCTTGCGATAGGTACTGATAGATATTGACATCGTGCGAAAATTGGATTTGCCCCGCTTGTTCCACAGCGCATCTCGCATACGTCCAACGGTGTCCCTTAGTGAGACCCACGATCTGGTGATGTCGGACGGTCCTCCGTGTCGGATTGGGATGCTACGAGGGGAATTGAGGGGAGTTCAAAAACTTGGATGGGGGCTACTTACTTTCTATTTCTTTTCTTCTTCTTCTTCTCTTATTCATATCTTCGTTCAAGTTCTTCCTGGCGCTTTGTACTTTTCCGATTCGATTCGGCTGTGCGGGGTTTTAGATACTCATTCGAACAACGGTCTTTAGGTGATCATGAAGTTCACAGAGGGAATGTGGTGCTTGCGGGTATGCCTTGTTTCCCTTGTTGGATTTTATCATCAGAAAATAAAGCGATGTTATCTTTTCGAAGCTCAGTATGCTAATTTTGGGCTATCAATAGGAGGGAGTTAACATCGAATGGATGAGCAATGTCGAAAGACTGCGTGTCCAGCAGGAAACGGTCGATCTACTACTGAACAAGTTTCAGAGACACCGCGGTGATACTTTGAATTCGCGTATTTATTTCGCTTTTCTCGCCGAGCAATTGGGTTTAGCTAATGGATTGATGGCTATTTAGCGACCATCTCAGCAAAGGTGACTTCGCCTTTAGACGGGATTATTGGCGTGAAGCTTGTTCATTGGTAAGTGCCGACCACCTAAATTTGAACAGAAGAAGGTTTCCAAAAAAGAGTTGAAGATGAAATTGACAGCTAACTTCTTCTAGGGCCGGGAATGTCGACAATGGCCCTCACTACGCCATCAACCAAGAAACCGGACACACCACAATCACCCAGAACCAAGATACCAAGAAACTCACCTACGCCAGTGGACCGCTTTCCCTAGACATAAATTCCAATCCCAACGAACTAGACTTCGTCTTTCGCAGCGAATCCGCCAAAAAGCTCACAGGCCATTCATTCCGATCAATCGGGTACGTCCGTGACACGCGCAGCGTCAAATACGACACCGCAGATGGAATCTACGCCGAGAAACAAGGTTACATGCTAGCCGAACTAGATCTCGGCGTCGGGGAAAAGGTTTACGGTCTCGGTGAGAGATTCGGTCCCCTTGTCAAAAACGGACAGACGGTCGATATCTGGAATGAGGATGGAGGTACGAGCTCCGAGCTTGCGTATAAGAATATCCCATTCTATATCTCGTCCAAGGGGTACGGGGTCTTTGTCAATCATCCGGGTAAAGTGAGTTTGGAAGTACAGTCTGAGCGCACGACGCGGGTGAATATCTCTGTCTCTGGCGAGGAACTTGAATACTTTGTGATTTTTGGAACGTCGCCAAAGGATGTGCTCAGGCGGTATACTACGCTTACGGGGAAACCGGCGCTTGTTCCGGCGTGGAGCTATAATCTTTGGCTGACGACGAGTTTTACGACGAATTATGATGAGCAGACTGTTACGGGGTTTTTGGATGGGTTTAAAGAGAGGGACATTCCGCTGGGTGTATTTCATTTCGACTGTTTCTGGATGAAGTCATATCAATGGTGTGATTTTGATTTCGATGATGAGATGTTTCCTGATGCCGCGGGCTATCTTCAGAGATTGAAAGATCGAGGATTGAGGATCAGTGTGTGGATCAATCCATATGTCGGGCAGGCTTCTCCCCTGTTTGAGGAAGGGAAGAAAAATGGTTACTTTATCAAGGTATGAGATCGATAGTGATCCCATTTTTCAAGGCTTAGTGCTATTCTACTCAATACAAACTAACAATACCTCCAGCGCACTGATGACTCCGTCTGGCAATGGGATTTCTGGCAAGCCGGTATGGCCGTCGTGGACTTTACCAATCCCGCAGCATGCACCTGGTACACCAACCATCTAGAAAGACTCATGGACATGGGAGTCGACAGTTTCAAAACCGACTTCGCGGAACGAATCCCAGTAAAAGGTATAAAATACCACGACAACTCAGACCCCGCCCGAATGCACAACTACTACGCCCTCCTCTACAACCGCATCGTCTACAACGCGCTAAACGCCCGCGTTGGCACAAACCAAGGCCTCCTCTTCGCGCGCAGCGCCGCCCCCGGTGGCCAGCAATTCCCCGTTCACTGGGGTGGCGACTGCGAGAGCACCTTCGAAGCAATGGCCGAGTCCCTGCGCGGTGGACTGAGCTTAATGCTTAGCGGGTATATCTTCTGGGCATCGGATATCGGAGGCTTCGAAGGAACGCCGCCGCCGGCATTGTATAAGCGATGGGTACAATTTGGACTTTTGTCTTCGCATTCGCGACTTCATGGGTCCAGTTCGTTCCGGGTTCCGTGGATATATGGCGAGGACTGCTCGGATGTTTTGCGGGATTGTGTGAAGAGGAAGATTCTGCTTACGCCGTATATCTTGCAAGAAGCTCTGCGGGGTCATCGGGAGGGTGTGCCGCTTATGAGGGCGCTTTTCCTTGAGTTTCCGCAGGATTTGAATACATATGCTGTTGATACGCAGTATATGTTTGGGTCGAATTTGATGGTTGCGCCTGTTTTCTCGGAAGAGGGCGAGGTCACCTTTTATGTGCCTCGGGTTGAGGATGAGAGCCAGGGAACTTGGGTCAGCTGGTTTGATTATTCGAAAACTTATGAGGGTGGCCGATGGTATACTGAAACTCATGGTTTTGACACACTGCCCATTCTTGTTCGGCCGGGAACAGTGACAATCACGAACCCCTTGCTGAAGGCACCCGAGGATGCAGCATTGGAGGGCATTCAACTGTTGGTCAATGGCAGATTAGATGGTAAAGCTTCGGTGGATATTGTGGATCCTGGTCAAACGGGTGAGGTCTTGAAAACCATTCAGGTCTCTCCTGCCGCGGATGGGAAGAGCGTTGAGGTTGAAGGACAAGAAATCGAGGTGATCTACTTGCATAAGTGAGCAATGGTATTTTACAACGGCTGGGAATTGAGCTTTGTGGCCATTCTTTATCCAGACATGGCCTCCTAGTGTTCATCTAGTTTCTCAGTTGGTAAATGAGAGGAAGTTCAGCACGAGACTACGTGACGAATATGCGATGAAAAGTAACTAATCTTGGTCCCACTACAATACAATCGCATCGATTGGGATACTTGACCACCAAGCAATACTCAGATGATGTCAAGGAAATTATCGAGAGAACTAGTCTATTCATCAAAAATTAAAGTAAAAAGATAAGATCAAGATCAAGATCAAACAAAAATGCCAGGCCTGGTTGAAACAGGCATCAACAAAGACTCGGGTATCATAGAAGAACATTGCAGCAATGCACAGCGAGGTATGAATCATACTTCTGAATCGGCAAAAATATTAGGGTGGAACCCCCTTTAAAGAAGGGGCAGCGCATGATAAAACGCTTAGAGTGAGTGGGTGGGTGGGTGTAAAATAGTCATGACAATTCACGGCAATGTAAATGGAAAATGATAATCCAATCAATCACCAAGCTTCTTCGACATCAAGAAGCCACTTGCGAATTCCTTGACGCAAGGTATTATCGGCACCAATCTGAGCACGTCGACGCTCACGGTCGGCGATGCCTAGTTCGGTATCAACGTCTTCCCGGCAGTGCTCGGCTGTGACGATGCGGACAACCTCTTCCAGAGCTCCGAGCACCATTTTGCGACATTCTGCACGGGGTACTTCAACAGGAGGATCTTCTGCTCGGGGCGTGGTCTGGCCGGTGTCATCTCCTCGACGAGCACGCGAAGGTGACGGGGCACGTGATTGTGCTAGCGAGGAATATCCGCTTTGTCCGAGGACTCGCTCAACTGCATCGACAAGAATACCGTCGAGATCCATGACAGGCTCCTCGATGAATCTTTCTTCCACATGGTGAGGGTCTTGCCCGTTACTGAGGTTGTCATCAGGCGACTTGCTATAGCCGAAAATGCCAGGTAATTGGGAGGTTGAAGAGGAGCGGTGGCCTTGGTTGTGGCCACTGACCGGGGATGGAGGGGTTTGGCTCGTTCCATAATGATGGCCCACGATAATCTTGCGCCTTAAGCGGAGGCGTTTGACAGAGGACGCCCGGGTATCTGCAATCAAGGTAGTTGCAACATCGACCCAACGCTCTGAGCCATCTGCGTCTGGAGTCGAAGGGATGTAGGGTGAGGGTTCGGCTTGCATGGCGCGTTTAATATCTGCCTCAACAGATGCATAAGGTCTGACTGCTTGCAGGGAGAAATCTTCATGGAATACCTTCAGCCATCCAGCAACGTGAGAGCTGGGGCCATCAGGGGTATCTTTCATGGCATTGTGGAATCCGGAGCCGCTGCTGTGAGTGGATGGAATGGCATCGACGCTGTTAATTGATGCTCGAGTCTTTCTCGGTGATGCAATTGTAGAGTCTCCCGAGGAAGAGAGAGACAAGAATCCAGGCAGTGGAAGATCGACGTCTACCACCCCGTCTTCGGCACGCACTGACAGCTTCAGAGGGGACTCGCGAATTTGGCTTGTCAGAGATGAAGGCTCCGGGGAAAGTATCTTCAGATCCATGGGGTGCAGCAGTGGGGATCGAGATATTTCCACTCGTTACTGTTTCGGAACGATGCTCCGCCTCATCTTCAGTGACCTCCTTGACCATTTCACTCAATGTGGGTGGGCCACGTGTTATGGGACCGGCGATTGTAGACACCGACTTTTTGCGGGCTTGAGATGGAGAGTAGTAATCGGCCCCATCTGTAGACTCCTGTCGTGAGCTCCACAGGCCCGAGAAGAGACCTCCCCAGCGGCCACCGGCAGATGGAAGACTTCCGTTGGAGCTCAGTACAGTGCTGTCGCATCGCTGTAGGTTCTTCATCAAGTTCTCCGATGCCAGGCTGTCATTGGACTCCACCCCACTGTGGTCAGGTCCTCCCTGGCTGGTACGACTTTGCTGTGAAGTGAAATGAGGAACAGGGACGGTACTGCTTTGGTTCGTCATCGAGATGGTTGCTCCACTAGCACGAGGATCTCTGGCCTGGGGGTTGGGACCTAATGTCCGGATGGAACGGGCATCTGATCCTCTACGTGCGGCTGGATGTTGTGATGGGGGATTCATGTCAACAGCTTCTGTAGATCTAAAGAGTTGTTTCTTGAGATGAGACGCTCGGCGAACGCCTGTGTTGACCATTCTCGCCGGGAAAGCCTCTCTGGGCTCGTGTGCGTCGTTCAATAGCCCTCCTAAGGGATTCCTGGCGAAGGACTGGCACCGCCGGGGGGCTTTGAGAAACGGCGCGCATTGACGCCGAGGTTCCGGGACGGAGCGGCGAAGGCAGAGGATCGATTCGCTGTTTGGAGGGGAAGAATGCAGAGAGTAGGAAAATCAAACGGCGGGCGGTCATCTTGTCCGGGCAGATGACTACAGTTCGGTGGGTGAGGATGGGTTCAGAATCCTGTTGAGCCTTTTGCTGCTGATTATGGCGGCGACGGTACCATTCCGGCCCAAGGGCATTGAGCCACTCTGTATGGTTGCCCAGGAATGCAGTAAGCAAGACCAAAAAGAAGAAATTTGATTCTTTATCTCCAAGCCCCCGAACAATCGAACGGCCTTCCTCTCGCCACACGCCCCAACGACTCTGGCCAGTCACGACATATGGGGTTTGAAGAGCCATGCTGATTCGACGCGTACTGCGAATGGCCTCTTCCTTGAGTTTGGAATTCACTGCAAGTATGTTGGCCGGCAAATGAACTATGGTCTGGTTGGTGCGCTGCATATTCGGAGGTTTCGCAGGTTTCGGGTGGGAACCAGCGAGGGAATCGACCTTTCGCAACAAAAAAAGGATCTCGTTCCGGGCAAGTCGCTCCAAGTGGGATAATGTGCGGGTAATCACATCCCAATGATCAACCAGCAGATCCAAACGCTCGTCTAAGCTCGCTGGAGGGGAAGCAGCTGATAAGCTGTCATCGAAAAGTACGCCGGGCCAACGGTAGTCCGAATCCAGAGAGCTAGAAAGTCCAATCCGAGAAGAATCCAGACCGAGGGTGCTGAATCGAGATACTGGTCTTCCCGCATTACTGCGTGCAAGTAAGGGGATTTGAATCGTAATCGCAACCGCATACATGGGCGTCTTCTTCTCCTTGATTTTCTTCCGTTTTGCCACGTCCGGAAAGGGGAAGCCCATCTCGGGAAGAGACTCCTGGTAAATAGCATTGGCGTAATCCTGCCGATCGGCTGAAGCATCGGGGCCTTCTGGAAGATTGACACTGAACATCCGGGTCAATAAAACGGTGACCTTGGCAGGCGGTTTTCCATCTGGGCCTCGAGCCGCTCCCATCATTCCAGAGGGACTTCCAGTGGTGTAAGCTCGGGCAATGGGGCTTCGACCGGCAGGCGACATGCTAGCTGACGTTCCAGGGTCATCGTCAGCAGAGATGATGTGCATTTTTGTTGATGAACCCCGGTAGCTGAACGCGCTGCTGCCGAAAATGCAGTTGAGCAAGCCAGTGTCATTGGAATCGGTGCCGTGTCTCGGATTATCAGGCCAATTTCCTCCGGGGGTAAGTGTAGAGCTACGGCCTCGGGCACGGGAGAAAGCGCTGGCACTGGCTGTTGAGGCCCGCCGTGCGCTAGCGGCGGTAGCAAGGGGACTCGATTCGACGACGGATGATTGTGTATGGATATTGCGGCGAGTGCCGCGAGATAGACTGGAGACAGCACGAGCATGTCTAGAGCCAGTTTGATCGAGGCCCTGCGAGTCGATGCCGAGACCAGTGGGTGGAGAATCGGATGAGGCACGTGTGTCCAACAAGACGCAGGCATCCCGGTCACCCAGGGCGTTCTGTGCCACAATCACCCGAAAATCCTTGGATGGTTCCAATTCCATCCCCCCACGGTCATCGTAAGCACCAGCAGTGGAGGCATTGGGAGAGTGAAAGGTCGTTTGTAATGGGTATGCATGGGTGTTGGAGCGACGGAGCAGGCTAGCATCAGGGAAGAGAAGGCCGGAGGTATGTTCCTCTTCGGTGACCGATTCGAGGGGAGTTCCGTGATTGCGAGAGGAAGAATAGGTGGCCGGGTTCAAGCTTGACGCGGCGGTGCTTAACAGTCGACCCAACATGGTCAAGGTCAAATTACCACGGGGGGGTTGTTAAACCCGCCGTTAGCAGAGGGAGGTAGCAGATTCAATAAGAGGCAAATAGACCGATCGAGAGATGTAGTGTAACGATGGGTATCAGACAGCTAGGCGATACTAGACTGCATGTACCCATTGCTTAATTCCACGGAGCAGGAACCATCATCGACTGATGGAGGGGGCGAGAATGTCGAGAAATGCTGGGGGAGGGGAGGTTGAAAGAGCAGAAAAGTGGGATGAGCTGCAGCAGTGGGGTGAGGATTGCCACCGAGACAGTAGTATAAAGGAGACAATTGGCGGGGGCACCCCACAGTGAAGTCAGAAGAGAAGAACAGAAAAGAAACGAAGGCAGCGATGGGGCTGTTTCTTGAATGGAGGGGAGTTGGAGAGGAAAGTTGTGGAGATTCCGAATGGCGGTGTGCTGCAGTGACAACGACAACGGGTCCGCCACATGATCATCAGCCTCACTTGTGACACTGCATGAGCAGTAAGTAGGTGAAGGAGAGAGTAAGATAAAGATCAAGATACCCTAGGAGACAGTGAGAGAGGTGGGAGAGGTCTATCCTGTGAATGACTCAAGTACCCTTGGGCTGGGTACTATGGTACATTATACCACCACTTGATACCTGGTACACCTGGGCATAGAGAGAAGTTCAGTAAATAAAGAATTCAAATAAACTGAACTGGGCTGGACATTACTTATCAATATACACTAGATAACTGTCTGTAATAGAGCGGTGAATGCCAGGTGACACAGTATCAACCACTGACTGACTGCATGGTTACGCGGTGGGAGACTTGCCTCAGGACCAGCTTCTTCTCTTGAACAGCTTCACTACTAATGCTGCCTACGCTGCATGAGATCCCATCGAGAAAGTATGTATGTACTCTGGATGTACTCCCGTACAGAGTACATAACCACTTCCAGGTCTCTGCAACCAAAACTACTGATGCAAACGGCATGAGATCTGCAAAACAATCGCTAAGATATGATCTGTCCAATTCTATCCATACAGATTTGATATCGTGGTCCCGTAGTTACAATAGGCAAAGCTAACCAGCAGCTGCGCTCATGCCTTCTTCGACTGCCGCTTGACCTTGTCCACCAGCCGCTTGAGGTCCTCGGACCCGGCCTCCTTTGATGCCTTCTTCTGCTTCTTCGAGCTGTCCCGGTGCTCTCCTGCCACATCGGTCTCACCGTCATCTCGGTTACGCCGGCGCTTACGGCCTTCGTCCAACAGGGCCTTCATGCCGGATGTCGCCTTGAATCGGGGATTGGTAGGATCAATCGCGAACTCGTGACTCTCATACAGGCGGGCGAATCGGGGATCGCTGACATCGACATTAAAGTCATCCGGGACTGCAACAGCTTCCTTGCTCTTGCTCTTGCCCTTGCCCTTCTTCCGCTTGGCCTGTTTCTCGGCCTTTTCAATCTCAGTCATGTCAAAGTGCTTGATGTCTGCCTGCTTGTCGTCCACCATGAGAAGCTCCAGCTCAGCCCGTTGGCGAGCCGAGGCAGCTTCTTCAGCAGCACGTTCCTCCCGCTTCTTACGCCTCTCCTCCTTGCGGCGGGATGTGGCTTCAGCTTTGCCGGATGGATCGTCGAAGAAGGGATCGTTGAAGCCCAAGTCTTCCTCTGGTTGGGTTACCTCGGCCGGAGCAACCTCCTCATCCTCCTCCTCCTTTGCGCCATTATCCGAGTCCTCTCCATCCTCAGCATCGTCGCCACGCTTGGCTTTTTGCTTCTCCTTTCGTCGCTTCTTGCGCTCGCGTTCCTTGCGCACGTATTTGTCGACAGTGCTCTCCTCGATCTCTGGCTCGTTCTCGAAAATGGTATCCTTGCCGTGACCGCCAGCCAGACCAGACGTGAAGGTCACTTCCATCTCGCCAACGGGGCCATCGGACTTGGAGCGCGTGGGTTCCGCGCCGAGACCCAGCAATGCCCGCATGCGCTGTCTCTCGGAGTCCCGCTTGGAGAGCTTGCTTGATGTGCCTTCGTTTGTAGTATTATCAACAACTTCCACTCCGCCATCTTCATCGTCCTCGCTGTCAGAGCTGTCGCTGCCAAGGTATGCCTTCAGGTCGTTTTCATCAATGTCCTTTCGCGAGCCACGGAACGCACGTCCCTGCGCCTCCTTGCGAGCCTTGTCGTCTGCGTCCCAAGTCAACTTGACTTTGCTGTGTTGAAGGGCATCGGTGACGAAATCGCTGGGTCTGTAGTCATCGGGAATTCGAGAGCATTGGTCTCGGGGCTTGTCATCGTCGAAATCGGTCTCATCGGGAACGAAGCGGAGATCAAAGAAGTTGGCACTGGAGAGATACTCTGCGCCGTCAACGAGGTCATAGACATGCTTGGCCACCTCCTTGGTGGAGAATGTAAGAATGGCGTAGTAGTAGCGGAGTCTCTCAAGCTGGTAGCGGCGCAATTCTGTAGAGTTGAACTCTTGACCATCGTCACCCTTCAGCATGGACTTCTTGATTTCCTCCTTTTCCTCGTCCGAGTCAAGATCCTCTTCCTCCTCTTCCTCCTTTTTCGTAGCGAAGATCTCTCGAGGGGGTCCTTCGATCTCTTCCTTTTCCATTCGCTCTTTTCCGAATTCACTTGGGTAGACGGAAACCTTCAGCACACGTCCTCCAGTCGGGGCAAAGCTTGAGAAAACGGCCATAAGATCTTCGGCACGAATGTTGTCCCAGTCCAGATTGACGACTGCTATCCGGGTCGTTACATCTCCAAGAGGCACATTGGCTTGCTGCTGGTCGGGAAATTCGATTTCGTCTTCATCGAATTCCGCCTCTTCATCCTCCTCCTCTTCACTCGAGCTTTCCTCTTCAGATGACGAGTCAGAAAATCCGCCATCACGAGCAGGATCGTACGAGCGTCCTTCATTAATCCTTTTCAGCTCCTTCCGCACGTCCTTGTCATCGTCAATGCTGACATTGTCTGCGACCTCCTCCTCTTCCTCTTGCTCCTCCTCGTTATCCTCATCCTCGTCCAAACGGTACAGCTTCTTCAGTTGTTTCTTTGTATCGTCACGGGCCAATTTGCGTCCATATCGGTCAACAGCAGCATTGCGAGAGAAATCTTTATCCTCAAGCATGTGCTGAAAGCGCTTGTCGAGTTTGACATGGGTCTGGCGCTTGCTGGGAAGACGGTAGCGGGGATCGGTCTGGATATTGGCAAATCGAGGGTCGGCTATAAATTTCGACAAGTTAGCGAATCTTCTTTCCATTGTGAAAGCGAATTTGGGGATTGCATAGAACGTACTAATCACTGGACCGGCTTCGCCTTTGGCTTTGCCAGCCTTCTTCGACTTTTTTTTGTCTTGACCTGCCATTGTGGAATGCACCTGTATATTCAGAATACAGAGCGAACACAATTTAACAGAAGCCGAAAGATTAGATCTTGATTGTCAATCGCGTGAATGGGGAGAAACGATTCGGTGCGCGGACAGACGAATTTCTTTTTTTCTGCCGGTTTTTCAAGGCGGTGCATGTGGTCGTGGTGCACGTGCCATTTCGCTCAAAACGGAAAGAGCATCGCATATTTCCGAACTGGGCGTATTCTACACGAACCACGGTACATAAATACAACATTAGTGCTATGGTTGAAGCCCTGGAGCTTTCAAGATTATCTGCTCAGGTGGTATCTAGGCAGTCGGTAGTAGGTAGTACTATACAGCACTGGAGTTGATGGTAAATTGGAGTTAGTGAAATGCTCAGATCCACTATACAGGCAGAAATATATATTGAGTTGGGATCCATCGAACATGGACCCCATACCTAGATACCTAGGTAGTAGATACTAGTACCATGAGATTGATACAGGACAAGATCCCATGGGCACGCCCCCGCGGAATTAGATAGTAGGCATTGTTGGAATTTACTAGGTACTACTAGTAGCTGGGAAATTTTAACAATCCCAAGTTGAAGGTTTACCCAAGGTTACTGACAAGTTGAGTTTGGCGGCGTTTTAGGATTTGATCTAGATAGTGAATGTAGTATCGCTAGCAAAATAATTCAATGAGTAATGAACATCATATATGCAACGTGCGTTTATGTACTTCGTTAGGTAGTAACATGGAAGCAACTGGTTTACTCGGGAGAACGCATTAGCAACCAAAGTAGCGCTTCTCCATCCATCGCGGCTCAGCCTCGTTCTCGATCCGACCAACCACAACCTTGATCTTAGGGTACACCGCCGTCAATCGCTTCAATCCTGTTTCTCCCGCGGCGCAGGTAACGAAGACAATGCGCTCCTCTTGTACCCCATGGTCAATCAAGACCCGAACAGCCATAAGTGCAGCTCCACCACTGGCCATTTGTGGGTCCAGAAGCATGACCATCGAGTGATCTTCAATTCCTGGCTGAACTTTCAGGTAGTGAAGTTCTGGCTCTTGGCTGGTCTCGTTCGTCTGGATCAAAAGCCGACCAGTAATGCAATCCGGGATGGTTCGTTTCAAGGCTGTTTCCAGACAAGAGCCACCGCGTAGAATAGCAACTGCGGAAACGATACCGTTGGGATTCAGTCCTTGGTACTTGTTACCCTGGGGAGTCTCCACGGTGGTCGGAGTATATGGCGACATGTCCAGGGCCCTAGAGAATTACACGATACAAGATTAGTAAAGTCCCAACAACAAGGAAGTGGAAACATACTTTTCAATCAGGATTGAGGCGAGTCTGTCAAAGTAAAAGACAAAGTCGTCCTGCTGGGTTTCGGGAGTTTGCAGGATGGTGTTCATGCCCACGAATTGGGGCGTCGAGGACATCACATGTACGTTCGGTGGCAGTTCCACTTTGGCGGCGATAAGTCCGAGATTACGGAGAACCTCCTTGTGCTGTTCAGACTTCTCTTGGAGCTTTCGTTGGATGTGCTTGACGACCATATCTGGGCAGAGTTAGCATGAGGGCCGGACTCGGAAGGGTGTCACGAGACCACCTACCGATAGCAGTCAAGTTCTCAATTCCTCGAGGGATGATGATATCTGGGGATGCCATTAGCCTCTTTACAATTTCAAAAGAAAAAAAAGTCATTCAAATCATACCCGAAACCTGTCGTTGAGCGTCCACATATTTGGTGTATGAAGGCTTCACAAATGCAAACCACTGTTTGATGATGCCCTCGATATCACGACCTCGATCGCGGACATCGCGGAGAACTAAATTCGTCTCAAGGTTAGATCTATTCATGAGAGAAACAGCGTGAAGCACCTACTGCGGCGGCCCAAGCAGACGTCCATATCGGCTTCGACGAAGATCTAAGTGGGGTAAGTTTAGTCAAAACTCAACCGCGAAGATAAGCAGCTAAACACACCTTGACATCAAGGAGGTCGACGATGCGGGGGTCGTGCAGTGCCAGAATACCGTCAAAGACAATTACACGCGGGGAATAGAGAGTTGTCGTCTGAGGTTGACGCTGGTGCTCCGCAAAGGAGTACACTGGGATGTGGGCTTTCTTGCTGCCAACAGATTCTGGTCAGATCAACCAGAACAAAAATATTATTCTTGACAGCAAATACACCACCCTACAACTCACCCCTGCTTCAAGTCTTTAAGGGTGTCGACCAGAACATCAAAATCAAATGCGTCTGGACAGTCGAAATCATATTGATTTGCATGTGCTTGGCGGTGTTCCTCGGGGGTCAACGACTTGTAGAAGGAATCCTGCAACTACATGTTAGAGATGCAATTTTCTCCCTCTAGACTTTGTAGGTCATATAGGTCATACCAGCGACAAAATTACCACCCAAGGTAAATTTAGAGACTTGACAATCTCCATAGCGACCGAGGTTTTACCCGAGCCAGAGCAACCAGCGATACCGATGATGCTCAGATCCTGCCATGGTGGCGAGTAGTTCACCCCCCTGGGTGAGAGTATGAAAGGGAGAAATCGATTCCATGGCCCCTGTTCTTTGTTCACACCACCAGGAGACACACTGGGGCACACTGGGTGGAACGCAAACTGGAGGTTGTCTCAAGGCGAGCCTCTTCAATCGAAGTCACGTTACCGTTCTACCCCCAGTTGTCTGGGACCCGGGATTGGGCTTAGCGCGGGATCCGTTCGCTTGCGAATGACTAAGCACAAGTCACTTTTTCTGCACCCGCGGGAGCTCCCAACTTTTTCTTCTTCTTCTTCTTCTTCTTCATCTCTTCCAGCTTCAGAGCATTTCCTCCTTCCAGCGTTCAGCCTTTTCTCCATGGCCGTCGTCTCTTGGGCCGCTCTTGAGCTTCACGGATAGCTTCTACATTCTCGCAGCTAGCTGTTTCCTCAGCAATGTCTGCTAATCTTGTATGAATGCCCGGCGTGTCTTCTCGCTCGTGGTTATTTTTTTTTTTTGGTTTAACAAACCGCACAGATGTCTCGCACTCCCTCGACGGCTACGCCAACATGGCATCAGTTCGAGCGGAAGGTTGACGAGGTCAAGCCATCCAAGACGTGAGTCGCCTTCCTCTGGGTCCTCCGGGTCCGACATATCCTTTCACCTCCCCCCCTACACTCGACCACTCGGTTGACCTGAGTCGGTCTGCCCTTGACATGATGCACCTTGAAAATCAAGTTGGGAATCTCTCTGAAAATCGCTGAGGAGAAACTATTGACTTGTCTATCTGAACTGCTTGCCCCATTCTCATCTTATTGCCATATCACACATTTTGGCAAACAGTTTGCTAATAGTGAACTGCAGTGACATTAACTATCTGGTCATGGACTACCTCATCACCAACGGATACCCCAGTGCTGCGAAGAAATTTGCGATCGAGGCCAATGTCCAACTCCAGACGGATCTTGATTCGATCCAGGAACGGGTTGAGATACGGACTGCCATCCACTCGGGTAATATCCAGCTGGCGATCGAGAAGATCAATGAACTGAACCCTCAGGTAAGACCTTCCTCCCTTTCCACTTGCACCATAAACCATTTCCGCCATCCCCCATCTTGCTATGATTATAATGTTTCATGCACCACTCCTACACACCCTCCGGGGAGTTGCGGAAAAACAAACATCTTCAGTCCTCAGTATGAGCAAAATTCACATCTCAAAAATTTTCACCAAAGCACATTGCAAATTTTTTACAAAGTGCCAAGGCTAACGAGATGAATTAGATCCTGGATGAGAACCAATCCCTCCACTTCGCCCTTCTGCGCCTGCAGTTGATTGAACTAATCCGCACCTGCACCTCCACTCACAACGGCGACATCAGCCCGGCCCTGGAGTTTGCGACGTCGCAACTAGCCCCGCGAGCCCCAACCAATCCACAGTTCCTAGAGGACTTGGAGCGGACTCTTGCACTCCTGATTTTCCCCAGTGACAACCTGGCACCCGGTCTTGCCTCCCTCCTTGACCCAGCTCTACGTAAGGACATCGCGACGCGAGTCAACGAGGCAATTCTCGAGAATCAAGGCGCTCGTAAAGAGGCGCGCCTGCGTGGCCTGGTTAAGCTCCGCGCTTTCGCAGAGAACAAAGCCCGCGAGACCAAGAAGGATATCCCTGATAAACTGGATATCGGTCTGATCAACGAGACTCACGACAGCACCCGTAATTCCAATGCCAATAATGGCGCTAGCAATGGAGCTAGTGACGCTGTCATGTCAAACAATGGCGACGTCGACCCTATGATCTCATGATGATCTTTGATTCCTCCGTCTTATTTTGGCCTGCCCAGGTCGGCTAGGCTTTGCTCTCTCGATTTTTTTTTTCTTTCTAACTGCACAGTCTGGCTTCTGCTTGTGGATCTTTAGCGAGGCGCTCGGGGTACGAACATGGTTTCTTTGATGGAGTTCTAAAGGGGTTTCCCTTTTTACTTCTAATACATTTCTGATGCACAGTCATCTGTGATTTTACACATTTTTTCCAAAGTAAATTGCCATGCATTCGTAGCTTTCTTGAAAACCCGAAAGTCCTTCATAGTTGCCCAGTCGGAACGGATCATCGGCCTAGACATTATGTACTCTCTTCATCCGGTGAACTGGCGCCCGAAATGATCCCCCCTGGCCAGGGTCTCGAGCACTGTTCGATTTCAACTGCTGTCTGTCTACGTGTCTGCCATACTCCTTGGCCGAGCCGACACCTACTAGTACCTATCTACGCATCCTATCGAGCATAATGGTTCCAAAATTCGGATACAGGTCAAGATATGATATTTTCCAATCTGCTCTGTATTCAAGCCAGCAGCCATGTCATGTCATGTCATGTCATGTAGCCAACGAACGAATATAAGCAAATTCAATCCGATCCAATTCATATGCATGCGTAGTCACAAATGGAAGACACAAAAAGCAGAAGCAGCTAATGCGTTCTAGTATAGGCAGGCACAGTACACAGAGAAAATAAGCTAACAAGCAGCAGCGAATCCACCATGACCCCTGGATCAATCAGTTCGGTCCGATGCAAGATACAATGGCAGCAGTACTCAAGTCCAAGAACGACTTCTAAGCCAGCGAAAACGGGATAAATGGAAGAGGAAATGGAAAAAAAAAAGAAATAGAAAGTCGTTTCAAAGCCTCAGGCTCGATAGGAGAGAGAAAAAAAAACAAAGGGAAATGAAATAAAACAGGAAACCCATCACATCAATGGATACAAGATCAAGCTATGATGTTAGATTTAGAAGCTCATGAGATCTGATAAAAGAATCGTTAGTCAAATCGAAACTGACATGACCCCTGGGGGTAGATATTTAGGGGAAGGAGAAACATACCTCTTCCAAAGAAAGCCCGCTTAGCCCAATCCATAGCCAACATACAACGAGTCCGGAAGCTAACACTCTCAGCAAAGTAAATACTGCGCCAGAGATACATAGCAATAACACCACCGCTAAAGCTCATCCCGCCGAAATCAAAGATAGCCGCATTACTAATATAAGCCAAGCTTCCGAGATGTCTATACTTGAAAGCGCGGTAGACCGCCTCGTCGAGATCACCGTAGTCAATCTCATTAGCCCTAAGACCCGGCAAGGCCGCGGCGATCTTGCTCAACTTCTGTCCCAGATACACGCCCTGCTGGTTAGCGCGCTGGGCGGTCGCAGGGAGGGAGGTGAGCTTTGTGTCGATTTGATGGAGGAGTTCGGAGAGTTCGCCGTAGTCTCAGGGTGCCGGAGTGGTCTTTGTCGTATTGCATGAAGAGGCGGTCCAGACGGCGGAGATGGTTGGTTGCTTGGGGGAAACGGCGCTTCACTCTGTTTGCGACGTCGGTCCATTCGGAGAAGGTTAGGTGCACCTTTTCGGGGTCTTGGCCTTTCTCCCAGGCGATTGTGCGGAGGAAGCGGATGATGTTTTCGGCGAGGTTGTTTTGAACGGTAGAGCAGTCGCCGATGGCGTAGACGTCGCCGAGCGGTGCGCCGATTATGCGGAGGTGGGAGTCGGTTTCGATGGCGTGTTTGTTGTGTTGGCCTTCTAGTTTCTTTGAGAGAGTTTCGCAAATTTCGGCGCGGGCTTGGAGATGCGTTAGTATAGTACGTGGTTTCGTGAAATGGGTTGGGTCTGGTCGTAGCACTTACCAACGCCAGTTGACCACAGGCAGAATCCAGTAGGAATTTCCTTGACAACAGTCTTTCCATCCTCAACCTGGCTGAAGAGAACCTTGTCCGTTTGCACTTCCTTGACACGGGCATTGGTCAGAACCTCAACACCATCACGAGTAAAGCGACCCTCAGCGTATTTGGATAGAGCCTCATCATAAGTATTCAGAATATGAGTCCGGCTCTGAATAATATGAACAGAAATCTCATTCCGAACAATACGCGGGAAAGAGTACAGGAGGTCCTCATTCAGCAGGTCGAACAATTCAGCCGCGAATTCAACACCGGTAGGTCCACCACCACAAATCACAAAAGAGAGCAGTCGACGACGCTCCGTATCCGTCGTAGTGGGCAGACAAGCCAATTCCATATTTTCCAGAACCTTATTCTTAATCTGGCGCGCATCGTCAATAGTCTTCAGGAAATTGCAATTCTCCAGACCCTTGACACCATGAGGATTCGTCACGCAGCCAACGCCAACAACAAGCTTGTCGTACGGCAGATAAAAGCTCTTCTGCTGACCGTCCCTTCCAACCTGCGAAACCTCGACCAATTTCTCAGAGAAATGCACATCCGTCGCAGAAGCCTTGAGGAAATGACCATTAACGCGCTCGATAATACGACGAACAGGTTCAACCAGCGATCGAAGACCCAATGTGCCCACCGTAGCGGACGGCAGCATCGGCGTAAAGAGGAAGTAATTCGTCGGCGAAACAACAGTAACGTGATAATCTCCAGGATTCAAGTTCTTCAGCAAAGCAATACTGCCCCAGCCTGTTCCGAGAATCACAAGACGCGGTTTATCCTTTTGTTCCAGCATTGATTCCGAGTCGTAGTCGCCGACCAGGAAATCCGCTATCGGGAGGTTCTTCGGTCCGCCGCGGCGCGGATTCAGGGCTAATTCCGAGATTGGGATATCCTCCGCAGTAGAAGATTCGCGATAAGTGCTAGCATCGTAGACGAAGAATCCGGCGACAATTACTCCAGAAGTGATGACGAAGAAACCGCAAAACGTGAAGACCTTGGACAATATCCGAGCAGCGCGGGTTCGGGCCTTGAGAGGGACTGCAGCAGCAGCAGTTTCGGCGGCGGTAGTAGTGGCAGACACAGACGCAGAGGCATCGTCAGATTTGAACCGGATCGGAATGGCGACTTTCGAGACCGGGGTAAAAAATGCAGTTCCGAGTCGTTGTTGATGTTGCTGTTGCAGCGGAAGGCGGCGGGTGGTGGTTTGCAAGGATCGCGAGAGCGGGATAATCCTGGCTGTCAATGGCTGTTTGGGGGCATTTACTCTAGCTGAGAATTCCCCAATCACCTTCAGTGCGGGGGCGCCCGGTCGAATCCGGAACAACGCCGCGCTCATGCTGGGCAGCAGGAGTACCGGCTATCTGGAGAAGCTGTCGCTGTCGCTACAGCTGCAGCTGGAGCTGGAGCCCGGGGAGATTAACGTATGCCAAGGAAAGATAAGGCAGATCTCACAACGGAGCCCTATACATATGAAGCGAACGACCTGAGAACGCAACGGACGTATGTAAAGACAAAAAAGGTACGAGAGAAAGTACGTGGAAAGAGAGGAAAAAGATGTCCAGATGCTAGGGACATTGCGGACATTCGCGGCGCCAACTCAGTCGACGTCATGTTGGCAATCACGTGGGCCGGAAACCGGCACGCCCGATAGCAGCCCTAAACAGAAAACAGCGTCGGTGAGGAAGATAAGGAGAACGGGACTAAACACTCCGTAGACTGGTGATATTGGTGATATTCGCGATGGCCCATGGGTATGTATGTTAAGGGTGAAGGTGATATTGATTCTTTCTATTATATACATCAAACGGAAAATAAGGTGAAGCTCGAGGAAATCCGGCCTAGCAGCCCCACACAAGCAAAGAAGCAAGAGAACCGCCCTGACAGCGCCGCATGATGCATAACATGAATCGAAGAAGAAAAGAAGAGAAAAAAAAGAGAAAACGAAAAAAAGAGGAGGATGTATCACATCAACCAGCCACCCGTCTTGAAGCTCCTCATAAATACCATCATGTAAAATAAAAAGAGAAAGAAAATAGAGAAAAGAAAAAGTCAACGCCAGCCTCGCCTGATATGCAGTTAAAAAAATTTGTATGACCTCCATGCTCCAGGAAAAAAAAGAAAAAAAAGGATTTAGATCGCACCGATCATTATCGAAGACTCCATATTTGATCCATTCATTAACCCCAAGGCTCATCGGGCTCATGGCTAGACCTCTTCTTGCCAACAGAGTCCTTACGACTCTTCGGCCGCTTATTGAATCCCGTACTGGAGACAGAGCTCTTGCGCTTCGGAGGTCGGGCCCCCACCGGGAGTAGCCAGCATGTCGTCGACTTCACCGATAGCGTCCAGGTCCCCGTCAGCATCATCACCACGGTCCACCTTGAACTCCTCATCAATGGCGAGCAGAGTCGAAAATTCACGGCACTTGGCCAGCATAGATTCTTGACTGTCCAGTGCGGCCATGTTTCGGGTTATGGCTTCCCAGAATCTATCACCCGTGATTCCGTGGGCCTTGTTCGCGGGCTTGTTGAGTTCTTTCGCAGCAGGCTTGCCTTCTTTGTCTTTCGTATGGGAACTGGCATTGTAAAGGCGCCGCAAGTAGGTTCGTGCTTCCCAAAGCATTAGGAGGGAGGCAGCGGCAGTGGCTAATGCCCTTAGCGTAGCAGGGTCAACCTGCTGAGGCATAGCCGTCGGCATTGGGGTCTCCGTAGCAAGACCCACCATGCCGGCTGGAGTCTCAATCATCGGGGGCCCGATGGGACTGGGGAAAATGTCCATTTCGATGGCATGAGCAACGACGGTCCCCGTAGACGAAACGATGCGTTCCATGGCTGCGATGGTAGGAACCAATTCGGCCAATTGAGCGTAATCGAAGTATGCCAGGTTTTGAGAGATAAAGCGGGATAGCAGGAGATGCTCTGGTGGGTCTCCACTAGTGTCGAGTTTCTTCAACTCAAAGTCGACCTTGGAACACAAGTTCGAGAGAAATTTCTTCTGGTACTTGCTATTGCTGATTTTAACGATGTCGAACAGCGGGGCTAGTTTCGCCACATAGGGTCTGGGCGTTGCACCATTGGAGTCGCC